ACATACAGGCTAGGTTTGTGCCAATGTTCTTTTTTTTAAATGAGAACAGGTCACAGATACTGATTTATGCCATAGAAACATATGGCAAGAAGATGGCATGTAGCAAAAAATAACAAATATGTAGCCAAAAAAAAGGCCCTGAAAACAGGCTGATGTAAAAGACAGTCTTTACAGTTAATACAGTCTTTTGAACAAAGACAAGCATTTTACCCTACTGCTATAAAATGTAGTACAGTTAACATTAGATGTTAATTAACCAAGATAATAATGAACAATTTTCAATCAATACATCAAAATCAATAGACGGACATCACTAGATGGAGGTAGTCTATGAAAGTTACTTTTCAGACTCTTAACAAAAATGAGAACACACACACACCCACCCACCCACACACAGACACACCCACCCACACACACACACGATACCGACCTGTGACAGCAAGCGTGCCGTAGCAGATTCCATTTCACCTCAGTAGTCTGTTTTCTCAGCGTATTTCAGGTTGCTACTAGTTACCAGACACTCAACTTGTTTGTTGGTGGTGGGGCTTAAAGAAAAGGCACTAGCGTCACCCAGTGTATGAGCGTCTTTTTTCCTTGAGGAGCTCCGCTCTTGAAGCCTATGAGAAATGCATACACTGGGGGAAAGTAGCCCCGCCTTCCCGCAGGCTGCAGCGGGATGTACTTGGAAAATTGTACCATAAAACCACATAGCGTTAATCTCACGTTAAAAAAATTATCGCCGTTAAAATGGCCTCGCGTTAACGCGATAATAACGCGATAATTTTGACAGCACTAATATATATATATATATATATATAGATATATATATATAAATGTATATATATATATATATATATAAATGTATATATATATATATATATATATATATATATATATATATATACACTATATTGCCAAAAGTATTTGCTCACCTGCCTTGACTCACATATGAGCTTAAGTGACATCCCGTTCCTAATCCATAGGGTTCAATATGACGTCGGTCCACCCTTTGCAGCTAGAACAGCTTCAACTCTTCTGGGAAGGCTGTCCACAAGGTTTAGGAGTGTGTTTATGGGAATTTTTGACCATTCTTCCAGAAGCGCATTTGTGAGGTCGCACACTGATGTTGGACGAGAAGGCCTGGCTCTCAGTCTCCGCTCTAATTAATCCCAAAGGTGTTCTATCGGGTTGAGGTCAGGACTCTGTGCAGGCCAGTCAAGTTCATCCACACCAGACTCTGTCATCCATGTCTTTATGGACCTTGCTTTGTGCACTGGTGCACAGTCATGTTGGAAGAGGAAGGGGCCAGCTCCAAACTGTTCCCACAAAGTTGGGAGCATGGAATTGTCCAAAATGTCTTGGTATGCTGAAGCATTCAGAGTTCCTTTCACTGGAACTAAGGGGCCAAGCCCAGCTCCTGAAAAACAACCCCACACCATAATCCCCCCTCCACCAAACTTTACACTTGGCACAATGCAGTCAGACAAGTACCGTTCTCCTGGCAACCGCCAAACCCAGACCCGTCCATCAGATTGCCAGATGGAGAAGCGCGATTCGTCACTCCAGAGAACGCGTCTCCACTGCTCTAGAGTCCAGTGGCGGCGTGCTTTACACCACCGCATCCGACGCTTTGCATTGCACTTGGTGATGTATGGCTTGGATGCAGCTGCTCGACCATGGAAACCCATTCCATGAAGCTCTCTGCGCACTGTTCTTGAGCTAATCTGAAGGCCACATGAAGTTTGGAGGTCTGTAGTGATTGACTCTGCAGAAAGTTGGCGACCTCTTCGCACTATGCGCGTCAGCATCCGCTGACCCCGCTCCGTCAGTTTACGTGGCCTACCACTTCGTGGCTGAGTTGCTGTCGTTCCCAAACACTTCCATTTTCTTATAATACAGCTGACAGTTGACTGTGGAATATTTAGGAGTGAGGAAATTTCACGACTGGATTTGTTGCACAGGTGGCATCCTATCACAGTTCCACGCTGGAATTCACTGAGCTCCTGAGAGCGACCCATTCTTTCACAAATGTTTGTAAAAACAGTCTGCATGCCTAGGTGCTTGAATTTATACACCTGTGGCCATGGAAGTGATTGGAACACCTGATTCCAATAATTTGGATGGGTGAGCAAATACTTTTGGCAATATAGTGTATATATATATATATAAATGTATATATATATATATATATATATATATATATATATATATATATATATATATATATATATATATATATATATATACATCTACTCTCGGGTTAAAGCTACTCTAACACTGTTATCGTGCCATGAGCTCTCGTGTGGTTGCAAGAAGACAAAGGTTAAGGGGTTCCTTTGATAAAAATAAATAAAATACATTTTTTTTCTTTCAATAGCATACTTGTCATTAAAAAATGAATTTATGTGTTAATAAAACCTGGACAAAGGACATATAGAAAAAACACTTCATAAAAATAAAATAAAAAGTTATCTAATATAAATACTAATTTATCTTTGTATTCTATCTTTGTTAGTTTGTTTTTGAGTTTAAATGCAGCTTGAGTAATTTTTTTTCCTTGGGACACACATTTTTTGATAGTTAGAGAATCCCCCATAAATAGCAGCAAGAGCCTGTTATTTGTATGTCTTGTGATGTCATGTTAAGGTTTTAGAGGCTGTGTTTAGCATCTTTCAGTCTCAAACTGAACTTGAATAACTTACAAGACTCGTTCTCATTTTTTTTATGTTCTCCATCTCAATGCTATAATATTCCGACCGGTGAAATGGCTGATATGAAATTATTTTCTATTTCAAAAACCCTTCTAGAAAATGCTACTTTTTTCTGAAGGAACACATTTATTCCTCACTAGAAATGTCTTTGCATTTAAATTGCTTAAATTTCTCTGTTTTCAAGAGTTGGTATCCATGTGACCTAATATATTAGAAAACCACACAAGCGGGTGTGTCTTTAGCTTTAATAATGCTGTGCCTCCACAGTCACACATCTGATGTACTGACTGATTGTAAAAAATTTAGTTACGAGTTAAAGGTACAAACTTTGGAAGTTTTAACAACCCGTAAGGTTGAACACATATAAAATTCAGCTTTAACTACTATATAGAATTCAACTCAGCAGAACTCACTCGTGATGGGCATGAATATGATGTTACAGTAATTTAGGGCCACTTTATTATACTTTTGATATGTCATTTTTCACTTTTTCAAAATGTAACTCCTGGAGTTACATTTTAAAACCAAGAATTGCATGCACATGTGGCAGCCTATGGAAACGTCTAGGTTGTAACATTTTTTTCTTCCCTGACTTCCTGGTCAAACACGAAGCAGGCACTTAGAACACAGCAGAAAACGAGAGACAGCAGAAACCTTCAGTTTATGGATTTTCTCAAATTCAAGAACTCAAACATATACCGTATTTTAAGGATTAAATATATATTTATATAAACATCTAACATTTACAGGAGTGACATGCTTTTTTTGGAGCCATTAAGTATTTTTAGAATTGTGGCTGGATCACTTTACTTCGATTTATACCTTGTTGCAGATGGACCTACTTGGGATACTTTGTCAGTCCTCTTGGCACAATAAGTTGCACTTTAGAAACAAACTGAGCTTTTATAAATCTTTAATGGTTGAGATCAGCATCGTTCTATGACCTTTCAATGACCAGTTTTACTCGCGTTTGGATCTTTCTCCTTCATTATTTCATACACTTTGTGTGCTAGTATGGCTAGCCATTAAAATAGACCCTAAGCATCAGGCTCCCACCACCAAGCTTTAGAACTGGCGCAATACTCAGGTACAGGTCTGAAGGATATAGTGACTGTGACACAGTGGCTCAATAGTCACCCCCTCTGACTATTTAACACCAATTCAGAATGTATTTGCCTGTTAATGTGAGAAAGTTAGTAGGTTATAAGGACAACCCATCTGTAACAGTTCTAACAGCTGTTATCATCTATAAGGTAATTAATACTAAGAATGGCAGTGTGAGAAAGGATGTTTCCTATTAAACTAGAATGGATAGAGAACGAAAGAAGAGCCGGAACAAGAAAGAGAATTTGAAAAGACAAGGACTAAAGAGCTACTTTTTCCTCTTTCCTTCTCGGACTGGTTTGCTGGAGGAGGGATGAGTGGAGATAAGCCTAAAAGGACTGTCACTCAGAGGAACAATTCTTCCAGTGTCTTCCTCTTCCTCATGGGACTCCTCCCTCCAATTTTCTCTGACTTCCAGATTCCTGCATAGATAGAGCTGCTGTTCACAGGGGCAGTTTGTTGACATCATATAGCAGAGGGGTGTCCACTCTCAGCATCCCAGCCCATTTTATTTCTGATTTTTATTTATGTGTGAACAAATAAACTCAGATAAGTAGATATTTACCTAGTTTTTAATATGAAGGGAAATGTAGTTTATTTTGACAGTTCTGCAACTTCACTAAACAAAAGGAATTTTAAAACACTAAATAACATTAAGTGACTAGTATTCTGCAGAAAAGCTGATCGCATAAATATTATATATATATATCATATATAAAAAAAAACTAAAATATTGGAATAGAAAAAATAATTATACTTATACTATATGGAGAATAAACAGGGAATCCAGACATCGTCCCTTCTGTGTCTCATTAAGTGGACACCAAACAAAGGGTAAGAAAAGTTTACTTGGTTTAATGTCAGATTAATAGGTTATGTGACTTTTTACATGGTGTATATAAACACCTGGGTTAAAAGAGTCATGAAAAAATTAAAGGAGATTTATTTTTTTTTAAATCACACTTTTATTTTTCTTATTTGATTGGAGACAGAATAATCACAGATCATAGAGTAATGTGGCATTTAACTTAGTTATGAAGAAATTAAAAAAAAAAATTAGACAAATATGGAAAACTACATTAACCCTGCTGATGAGATGCACAGATACACTGGAAGTAAACATAAGGAAAAAGCTGTGACTAGTTACATTTTTATCAATTAGGATAAAGTACTGCAAAATATGGGATGCAGAAGAAGAAAAAAAAATCAGCAAACATTGGCAGTTTCAGATCATTACATGAAACATGTACTGAAAGGAGAAGAGTAGCTTTTCCCTCTAGTGGGGCAAAGAGGATTAGCTCGAGCTCCTTAGATAAAACAATCACTGTTTCACATGCATTAAACATTCCACAACCATCTCATGTCTGCAGACTGTCTCCATCCTCAAGAAAAAAAGACCAATCAAATTAACGCCGCCCTGACTCCAGGGGCTGTTATTCACTTCAACTTAAAGACCTCTAAAGCAGCTCTTTTCCCCCCTCTTACGATTATGCAGGGAGTCAAGACTGAATCATCTTTTTCTGGGGATCAAACACATATCTCTTGAAATGCAGGTGAATGCTAACAGGCTGGGAATCTGATTTGGGCTCCTCTTCGCTTGCCTGCCCGCCCTTGCTGCAACCCTTCCCTTTCTTCTTGGAGGTAGAAGACAACAGCTGCTTGGTCTCTGGGCGAAGACCCTCTGAGGAAAACAGCAGCAGGCAGGTCAAGAGAAGACAAGCATATAACAAGTAACTCATGTTTTACTTTCTCATTGCTTGTTTTAATCATCACATACATGTAATATAGGACATGGATCTATTTTTAATAGCAGCAGGTGTTTCAGGATGAGCTTAAAAGCAGTTTGCTCTTACGTGGAAAAACAAATTCCACCTTAAATCTGAGGTTTGTTTTCATGCATGTTTTTTAGGCTGTGTGTGTGCTTTCCCCTCCAGCACACAGCAGTTAAAAAATTTTCTGGGTTCACTGCTATTCATGCGGGCCGTCTGACCCCGTGTATGACGGCGCCAGCATTCTTCTTGTTATCGTCGTGCCAAGGTGAGGGCTGTTATGGTTGCAGCGCAGCCAGAATGCTCCGCCTGTTATCTACGATCAGATGAATATGTCGGCTTTGTACTGGAAAACACGCTCACGCACCTCCAGTGACAAATCATTAGAGGTAAACTGACCGGCCTTATGTTGAGCTGCTCAGTCACCTTTTGAAGGACTAAATGTATTTATTTATACAGACAGCGAATTCTGTTAAATGCTAAATGACTTTTGAATTCTGTATCATCGTTAACTCTGGGCTATGAGCTGCACACAGGCAGTAAATCCTCCCAATTCCACAAAATGACATATTCAAATCGGGATAAAATGTGTAAATAAAACATTAATAGGTTCAATATAATCAAAGCAAGAACTTACCAAGAAGAGAGTCATGTGATGTTCAAAGCATTAAAAGTTGAAAATATGGTATCTGAGTGGGGTCAAGACTCATAATATGTAAAACTCTGCATTAACCAGAACATTAAGCAGATTCTAATCTTACAAATGTGACAAGTCATAATGTTTTCTCACAAGTACATCTAGATAAAGTAAAAAAAAAAACACATTTCTGGGTTTGGCTCTCTGAAATCAGGGGAGTCCTTTTGCCATCAAGCAACAATTGACAAAGTCTTATAAACCTGAATTTAGCATAAAGCAACTTAAAAAATGTGACGAAAAATTTTGTGACAAAAGTTTAATATACCAAACTTAACCAAAGTCTCTTTTACTGCTTCTGCTTGAACAATCTAATTCAACCCACAATGAATGATAGCATAAGTTGGATTTTTTTTTCTTAATCAAAGAAATACCAGATTCAGCAATTATCAAAATAGTTGATTGCTCCAGCCTTAGTTGATTTTAAATTTTACTGTCCTGCCCTCCAGTAAGACATTGAGGTTTATTAAAACTTTCCCATTATCAATCTTAACTTTACTCCCAGCTGAATCATGTGCTCAGTAACAATAAAACACTAAAATAAACTCAAGTGTTACATATAATTTGATTGAATTACATCAATGTTTAATTCCACTCTTTGGAGAAAAAAAACAGGAGATTTGAAATCATATTCTATTCAAAAAAGCAAACCTGGATTGTCTAGTCAGCTGACAGCTGGGAGGCAATCTGGCTGTAAGCAGATCAGCAACTATGTTAAAAAGAAAGCTGGACTCCGACTGCAGTTGAGTAAAACCTCAATAAACCAAGCAGATATATAGCTCTACATATTCTCAAAAAAAAAAAAAAAAGTGAATTCATCCCAGTATTTGTCACCTTCCTCTGCCTTATCAATCTGCCTTGACCTGAAATTAATTATCGGATGGGTGGGCTGCGTGGAATACACCGATACACCATCAAATCTGGGGGAAAGAGGGACACATGGTTGGACAGCCTACAAATGGGAACTCTGTGGGTTGGAGCCCCTAAATTTGGATGCAGTCTTCATGTACTCCTTTTCGTCTTCCCATAAAAGATTCAGAGACTCTGTTTTCAGCTGCAGCTTTTGTCTGAACTAGGTTGCAGATAGAGCCACTGCAGAGGGGACAGCCCACTGTTTTCCTAACTTCTGCATTAATTTAATAAATTTCACATTATCAGCCTTCCTGGGACTCTGGCTCAAAAATTAGTCAGCATGGCTGATTAAACATAATTCATTCCATTATGCCATATAGATAAATATAAATTAAAAACGCATGTGTCTAGACCAGGGATCTTCAGCTTGCAGCATCAGAGCCAGAAGTGGCTCTTTTGACCCTCTATAATGGCTCCTGATGGAGGCTTAAGTTCCTCTGGAAGCTTTAGTAGGTTTTCAGTGAATTTCTGAGTTGATTTTTCCGAACAAAATGACAATAGCAGAATGAATTTTTTCTTGTCATTACGTTGGAAACTGTTTTTTACATTATGCTTTTCTCATTTCAAAACCTAAAATATAAATGCAGTAGGCACTCAACAAAATTAAAAAGTTTTTTATTAAAAGGTAATTTGGCTGGACTGAAAGCAAAATGGCTCTTTTGATCTCAAATCAAAAGAGCCTTTAAGCAACATGATCCAATCTACTCTAAAGTAAGAAAGACAAAATTATTACTAGTAGGTTTGGAAGTACTTGTCAGTGTGAAGAGCAGATGTCTGCAACAGGGAGCATTTCTGAGTGATATTAAATCAGACACTTCAATTCAACCGCCTCTTCTACTGGAAAACAACACATTATAGATTCAACAGAAAGCAAAGGCTGCTGCAGGAGGCACAGCCCTTCACAGATACACCTTAACCTAAACTGACAGCCTCATGGAGACTCTGCTGAATGTCTACATTATGCTCCTGCCTGAGTATTTGCTCGTCAGTATATATGAGACGTTTGAGTATGCAGGAACAAAGGAGTGAGGAGGATGTCGGCCAGGTTCTGTTTCCTAAATGTTTTTGTTTTCTCTTCCCTCCCGGTGCAGAGCAACAGAAGGTAAAATAAACACCGATCAGACTTCCCCCGGAACACAGGCGATCCCCAGAGGAATGCTGGGAATGTGGCTCTGGATGTCAGGCCCGCCGCTCTCGCCACATCCTGAATACTGCCTGCTGAGCCCCACAGCTTGAGGAAACCCATGGAGAGTGGACTGAATGTGGATGTTAGCAAGAAGGGAGGCTCAGGTAATATTAAATCAAGTGTTATTCATCCATGACTCATACATGATGCCCGGTTTACATCAGTTTTGACACTTTGCAAACAGATGCAGCAATAAATCCTCACCTTGAACACGGATCTTGAACTTCCCGCTTTGTCCAAACCCGCCCTCGATAACTCCGCTCTCACCTGTCGACAGAGTGACCTTCAACCCCACAAAGAGCTGGAGGTTTGTCTCCTTTTTGAACAGACTTCGGCCGATCAGGGAGTAATCGTCCGTCACCTGAAACAGAAGGAACAAATCCATGAGCTCAAAACTCTCCATGAAAGTCAGGAGATTGTGCCAAATCAACACAAACTAGTTTTACTTGTAAAAATATTCCCAAATGGATTTTTGTCTGTACTTTTATTAGACCATTCCAATGCATAAATTAGCTTTGTTCTCTATGTACGTTTTGTAAAATGCAAACAGAACATCTTCTTCTTGACACGTCTATAAAGGCCACATAATCAAGGAACAGTTATTAGTTTGCCTCTCGGCTTCAAAAACCTGAGCCGTTAAGCTTTACTGCTACTCCAGTGGTAGTATACATTCTTCTCTTATAACTGCTCTCCTTACCCTAAATGTCACTTTTACCAAAAATATCTTTGTAGGTTTGCAGTTCTGTAATCCTTTCTACTGTCAGATGATGACCTGAACAAAGCTCCCTGAGATGTGTAATTTTGAGATATTTTTCCACTAACAAACCTATGAGGCCTTAATAGAACGGCTGCATTTATGCCAATAGACAATTAGATTGAGGCAAACTGAATGCAGTGGGTTTATTTTAGGTAATCAGAGTAAACTGGGTTACAAATACACACCCAACCTCCAAGGCTGCTGCTCTGCGTTTGGTTGTGATCTGACTAAATTTGAATAAACTGCAGGATTTTGGCTGCTTGACTATCCAACATGAGAGAAGTGTTCCATAAATCAGGTTTTAAATGAATGAAAACTGAATTTTTCTTAATTACCAAGATTTTGCAGAGGAAGAAGAGCAGTCAGGCCGCATTGATCTAGGTCCACCTCCTTGAGCCATCTCAGGCATTCTTTAACACAGTTTAGTGCATCTTATTTGTAATTGTTCTTATTACCCGTCCCTAAGTGCATCTAACCCCGCCGCTAATCTGACAACTGCAGGGCACCGCTCTGTCTCTCCCCTGCCAATGCTTCCTCGCTCTTCTGCCTGACCTCCATTCATTCCTGAACATTTGACTTTCAAGCATGACTGATCTGCTGATACAAAGAAAACATCTTACTGCTGCTAAACATGTCCAAGAGACCATCTGATTCCTGACATCTCAATAATGACAGTAATGTACTCTTTAAGAAAGGGAATTCTTCAGTCTTGAGGCATAGCTGGGTCATTTCTGCGAGACGCCGTGAGCGACGAATGCGACGTCACACGACCAGCGCATGACCCCGTGCACATGCTATTCTACTCCAGCGTCTACGAGGGCTGTCAACAGCCTGAGGTGCTGAAGCAGGAAACTAGTTCACACACTTGACCCCTGAACTCCTGATGACTCTGCTCCAGGCCCCGCAAGGAGAAACTGAACTGTAACACACAGCATGATGAAAGTCATCAGCAGTATGTCTAGTAAGAACGCCGTTCATGTTTTGGAGCCTAATCTGAAAGCAAACAAGCTGGAATGAAAACAACATTCAGAGAGACAGAGAAAGATGCTCAGACAAACGAGGAACGTGTGGATATTCCTGTGCCAACCAGGTGTGACCAAACAGCGCCAGCCTCTGACAGCTAGACGGGACCAGAGCGACTGGCGTCAGTCGGCCACCCACGCACGCCTCTGTCGCAGCGCATGCTTAGGCATGCGTACCATCCATGCCTAAAACGAGGGTCATGTGGACACATATGTATGATTGTTTGTGTACGTGTCTGTTTGTGAATGTACAATAGGGGTCTCTGTCTGGGAGGCACGCTCCACTGCTACCAGACATGAGAAACATCTGAAGAACAACGGCGAGAAGAAGGAGCGCTAGGTGACGGTGAGGGAAAGAGACAACGTTCAGAGGAGAGATCGCCTGGATCTCAAAACACCATCACAAATTCCTGGTGGTCCTGACCTAAGCACAAAGCCCTCAGCATCAAACAGTGGATAGCATGAAATGCATTTAAGAAGTATCTCTGAAGACGTCTCAGAATCAGGCACAGCAGAGGGTTGCACTTTACTTTGCAAACCAGAAGAGCCTGCAGAGGATAGTGAGATTTTGAAAAGTCAGTGTTTACTTCCAATGCATTGCAAGGCGACAAACACCCCTTAACTTTTCAACATTTTTGTTGAACACATATTGTTCAACAATAAACCTCAATGTATCATATTGCCATTTTAATGACAGTGAGACAAGCTAGTGGAAAACTGTGGCAGGAGGAAAAAAGCACATATGAATGATGAAAGTAAGCCACTTTGCACAAGACCTAGAATGTTTACCTATTCTTCTTTTGCAAAATAGCTCAAGTACAGCCAGCTAATAATTCAGTCTGGTAAAAGTTTCCTAATTAAATTAAGGTGGAGGTCATTCTAACATAGAAAGATTTGAACCTCCACCCAAACTCTAATAGTTTTTCCTCCCTATTTGCCTATTTTCATCCATCTTCCATAGACCCCATCTATGCTGAAAACAAGCCTTACCACAGCACAATGCTGCCACCACCATGCTGTAGAGAGTTTAGGATGTAGGCCAAAGGTTTGGGTCTCTTCACTAATGCTCTCTATTAGACCAGAGATGCTTTTACAGAACAGCTGAACTTCCAACATGACTGCACCATAGCCTTTTTATTTTTTATAAAATAATTCCCTTCATATTTTTCTAATGCATTTAACAAACCAGGCGTATTGTTTTAATTCTGAGAGTTCACACATGTCCTTTGAAATATAAAAACCTACCACAGCTTAAATCCACGTAATCCAACCAACCAAGCCATTCTTAAACACACTGATATTGCGAAAATTAAGGCATTTTAATATAAAGGAAGGCTCCAATTTAATTTGGTGTTTACATTTACAATTATTAATTAATTTAAGACAACTCATAACAAAGGTTTTTGATTGAGGAAGCAAAATAAAATGTTTTGCACAGTTTAAAGATTTTTTTTGTTAAATCCTTTTAAAAACTAAATGATGTACCTTCCACTTAAATACTACACACTACTTTGTAGAGATTGCTGATACTGATTATTTTGACATCTGTCTAACCAATATGAGACAGATGTCAATATGATATGTGCTGCTGATATTTTTAGGCAGATTTTTGGAGCCTATGTGGCTTTTTCTTCCTCTGTTTACAGGTTAAAATTAAAGAATTATCAGAAATATTACACAGGTCTTAATTTAATCAACAAAAAAAAAGGTATTTATTAACAAATCAAACAAAATATTAAACTTATAGCAAATGGAGGGGATTGGCGATGCATTCACTCAACATAGTCGTAAAGCATGGCTGGTGGCCAACGCATGCACATATATATAAAAAAAAAACGGCAATATCGGCTTAATATATTGGGTTGCTGATGTATCAGTCTGTCTTTACTACTTTGTGTTTCTCAAGTTATTAAAAAATTGAAATAAAACATTTTGGAGATTTGGGTTGTATTATGAAAAGCTTTTCTAAAGGACTGTACTTTTTTCCAGCCTATTTTTAGTGTTTTGTTTACAAAATATTTTTGTCAAACCAATTATTTGAGCCTCCTCAAATGCTGCCTCAATTTGTTTTTGCCATTTAGTTCAAAATAGTGCTAATAGTTGGACAACCACTCACCCGCTCCACCTGTCCCTCTTTGTGTTTGGTCTTATAGATGCGCAGTCGAGGTAGAGCAGTTTCAGCATAGCTTTTGTCTTCGAACCCGTGCAGCAAGCGGCCTTGGAAGGCCAAACGACACGCGTTGGCATGGATATCTGTGTCCAGCTTGGAGCCGATCACCAGACAGAGCGTGGGACATGTAACAGGACGCTCAAACTCCAATAAAGCCCACTGTTCTGGGTCCGGCCCAGAAGCTTCTTCTCTTTGCCCGGCAACATACTCGTCTTGGTAGAAATACTCCCTCTCGAAGATGAAAGGTGTTTCCAATGAGGAAGGCTCTGAGGGCGCAGGTTTGTGCTCAGCGGGCGGCAGGCCAAAGAAGGTCACCTTAGCCATGACCGTCTCATGACCCACTGTGATGTGGAACTTGGCTCGGGTGGCCAGAGAGCCCTTAAAGTATCCGATCTTCCTCACAGAGATGATGGCTGCAAAGAGGGTACGCAAGGATCCCGGGGTGCACACCAAACCGCGCTCCAGCAGCTTAGGGTCAAACTGTGTCACACATATGCCTACACGGTCACCCTGCATGGCCCCCGACACCGGCTTCCGAAACATCTGCACCGACTTTATTTTCTTGGTCACCTGTCAGAGAAGCATAATAAATACCCGGGCTAAAAACACTTTCCCCACACAAAAACACTAACCTTTAAAACTATTACCATCAAACTCTGAAGCTTAAAAGTGTTACTCATCTACTGTTATTTAATCTGTGATCATGTTTGCCTTATTTTTACAAACCTGAATACGCAGAGAATAAACAACAGTAGTAAAGTAACACTGTTAAAAGACAAAAACTGAAATAATGCGATGGTTGTAGTTTGAAATAAAGGCCTTTCAAAGTTAAGTTATATGATTAAACAAGCAAAACCTAAATGTTAAAGATGTTTCCTTTTCTTTAAATGTGTCAAAATATTATTTTTCAAAAACTGAATACGTTAATGGAAGATAAAATTAAAAAATTCTGATGCTACATAACTCTACAGGACAATAAACAACTTTAAAATGCCTCTGTTTTGTTAACAAGTGAAGGAGTTCTTGTAAATTAAAGATGTATCCATCAAATAACTTGGTTTGATGAAAAGTTTATCATTATGAATTTGTTTGATTTGAAAACTCAGTTCAAGAAACAACAAAACCTAAAAGATTTTTTTATTTCATCCACTGATAAATAAAAAAACAAACAAAAAAGTCACAGGAGCACAATAAAGATAATTGAAGATTTCTGATTATTTGGCAACTTATTTAAATGTAGGGAAGAAAAAATGTAATCAGCTTAATATTATTTATTGTTTTATTTTTCTCTTTGAAAATATGTGTTTTGAAACAAGTTTTAGAAGTTTTTACTCAAGCCATTATTTTAGATATTTGTAAATATCTGTACATATTTATGCTAATTTCTCTGTTTAAACAGTATGACGTGGCCTTGTAAGTATGTAGCTTTAATTTTTTACGTTTTCAATTTTTTTTCATAATTGTTATACACCTTGCCCAGGGACAACTGTTAAAAAATAGCTTCCTTTCTAATACTGACATATTTACAGAAATGTTCATTAATGTGTCACTGACAAATAAAGGAATAAAGAAAAATAAATTGATTTAAAAAATAAAATAAAATTATAATAACTATTACCTGCACAATATTTATTATAAACTGTTATGATTATCACTACATTTTCGCTACTAAGGGACAACAATGATTGTTCCATTCTACTCTTCCATTCTATTGAACAAAATCAGAAGGATAATAAAATGCTATTTAAGCTATCTGCTGCCACCAAGAGGCTGACAGGACAACTGTAAGCTGCAACTTTGCATGTGGTCTTGATTAAACATTGGATTTGCTGTAAACCCACCACCACTTACCCTCAACTTTCCCTAACACTAACTAGTCACTGTCACAAGTCAACTGCGCAGAAACTCTTGAACTTTTGGATCAGTGCAGAGTCCACATATTCATTTCCACTGTCAAAAACCGAACCTTTAGCACTGGGATTTCCACCGTGTCGTTAATGGCCAGTGACCCCTGTAAGATGGTCCCGGTCATGACCGTTCCCTGACCACGGATCGAGAAGCAGTGATCCACAGCCATAAGAAGGTCACCTTTAGGGTCTCTCTTGGGGAGGTATGTCTGTTTCTTTAAAAGCTGGAAGAAACAAACATAAAAAACAAATGTTTAAATAGTTTTCATGCTACTATAGTTTTCCAAGACAAAAAAACACAAAATGCAGAGGTGTTAATTAGCTTCAATTAGTGTACCGTGAAACTGATAACAAGCCTTATCTGAGCTAGGATGATCTACCACAACTCGTTTATCAATTATGTTATAAATTGGTCCCAAACTACCCAAATTCGATCAACCTGGTTAAATACAGGTGACTACTTAGAAAAGGCAAATACATCTACCACCTGATGTTGGACAACATAAAGTAACAAACCTTTTGTATCCCCCATTAGCCTCTATATGTATAGTAAAATAACAAATAGTATGTATATCAGTTTAACATCAGCTGGTAAAGAGTATCTGCTCTGTTTGCTATCCTGCTGTACCTCCTAACCTGTTTAGGATAATTATAATCCAAATAGTCAAATATTTAATTCTTATAAACACAGCAACACGGTAGCATGCACCCAGCCAGCTGACAGCAACAAGTGACCATAACTTTCCATTACTTCTGGCTTATATCAACTCTGACGAACTTGGAGTTGTCTCATGCTGCTGTAAAACAAATATGTAAAAGGTAAGAGGTCTTAGACTTCAATCCTCAAGGACCAGTCTCTTTCTGTAGAGACCGTAAGATGCCTGACTTCAGACCCCCTTCATTTTGAGCTTAAAATGCTGCGTGGAAATCCTAAATCTTTGATTAGACCATTTGTCCCTTCAGAGAGAAATTCTTAGGAACAGTTTAGTAAACATAAATTTTAGGCTTTGAAAACATTGAAGGATGCTAATCTCTTTTAAACACAGAAGATTAGGGAGATTATTTCCCTAACTTTACCAAACAACGGCACCTTCTGCATTATATAAAACAAAATTCAAGCAATTTCCCTGTTGAATTAATGGGAACACACAACCCAACTTTAGCATTAGCAGTCCACTATACCTCAATTAACTCTGGTACTCCCTGTGGCTCCTCTGTTTCAGGGGCCTCTGGGCCTCCAGGCTTCGCTGCCACAGCAATCACTGGACATTCCTTAAACCTGTCCGTCAGAAAACAGTGGTGCTAAAATTATTTCATGATGGTGTGTTGAGGTGGTGAGGCTATCCACATAAAGTTCCCCTCTAAATAACCCCGGATACAGAGTTGTATAAATCAACGCAGACCTGGTGCTTTCCAGTGTTTTGTGCAACCTCTTGGTCATTTTCTCAATTGCACTTTGCCTCTTGTTAGGTGGCAAAAGATCGACCTTGTTCAGGACAACAACCATGCGGGGGCAGGTCAGCTCTCCTATGAGCAGACACTCTGCAGTCTGGGTCTGAACTCCTTTCACCACATCCACTACCAGCATCATTAGGTCAATGATCTGAGCACCTGAAAAAATTTGAAAGAAACGTGTTAAGAATACAAAAAGACACAGGGCTTCCCTTTCCTCCTCTTTGAAAAGGGCTACATCCTTAGAAAGGAGTTCAAATCATAAACATGGAGCTGACCACAGCAATTCAGACAAAAACAGAGGATGTCCAAAGGACCAGGGAACAGGACAGGAGACTGAAGGAAAAGGGGTGCATGGAAGCAGAGTAAGAGCAAAGACTGAAGGTTAAAACTACCGTATTTTCACGACTATAAGGCGCACTTAAACGTCTTTTTTTTCCCTCAAAATGTGCGGTGCGCCCTATGGTGCGGTGCGCCTTATGTGTGTTGTAACTGCGACTTTTGAGACCACCTCATTGAGGAGATGATGAAAGAGTGGCTGAATGTAAGGAGACCAGGTGTTTTTTTTCCACCCCTCACCATCGCTGTTAATATGTAACTCCATGCGTGCCCATCTCACAGCTGATGTGAAAAACATGGGGAAACAAATTAACGCTGTGCTCGCTGTTCAACCGCTCGACATCGGTGTGAACCGGACCCAGCAGGTGCAGCAGAAGCAGCGAGTTTACATGCAAAGTCAATGGTTGACGCGCATATAGGTGCAGCAAAAGGTCCCGCAGCGCATTTTGGTGCAGCACGTCGGGAGCGTTTAAGCATCTGACGCACCGCCAACGCGCTGCTGCTGCTCAGATGGAAAAATTGAAGTTTTGCTGCTGGACGCGCCGCATCAACCAATCAGAGAAGCTGATCTGGGAGCTGCCAGCGAGACAGACAGCGCTCTGATGACATATGATATTAACGCAAATGGAAAAGGCTGGATGGATGCGTGGCTGAGGCAGGTGTATGTGAGAAGACTAGGTGGTTTTTTCCACGCATCACCATCGCTGCGTGCCCATCTCACAGCCGATGTGAAAAAAAGGTGAATCAATGAACGCTGTGCTCGCCGTTATCCCGGGGGTCTGACAAAGGAGCTTCAACCGCTCGACATCGGTGTGAAGCAGCCGTTCGAAGTAAGGCTGCGAGCGGCGTGGGAGCGATGGATGACCGACGGAGACCACAGTTTCAGGATAAGAAGGCAGCGCCGGGCAGATTACGCCACAGTTTGCGGATGGATTGTAGATGCTTGGACTAACGTGTCTGCTGGCTCTGTTGTTCAAGCTTTCGCAAAAGCCGGCATTATTTCTGAGGAGCTGCGCTGCACGGAAAGTGACTCTGACACCGCAGAAGGGGAAACTGGCATGTCTGATTTAGCGCAGCTGTTTTATTCAGAAACAGAGGATGATGACTTTGATGGGTTTGATTAATACTTTGTAATAAATACATTAATAAAGCACAATCATACTCAGTTTTGCTCCCGCTGTATTTTTCTACCTGAAAGCTTAATTCAACAGCAGCCTGTGGGCGCGTCTCCTCCTCTTCAGCGCGGTGGCTGGCAGGTGTTTTTTCATCTAAATAATCTAAATCTTGCAGCTATATTTGCTGTGATCAGTGGGAATAAAGTAGTTTTAATATGTTTTTAAGTGAGAAAGTCCACCTGAAAACTTAATAATTGCAGTCAGTTCATCCAGATTATCTATTTCTGTCGGAGGCGCTCAGACCCCCACATACCAGCGGTGCGCCAACAGGAGAAATCCTTTCGTTCACCGCGGCTGCTGGCAGGTGTTTTTCATCTAAATAATCTAAATCTTGCAGCTATATTTGCTGTGATCAGTGGGAATGAAGTAGTTTTAATATGTTTTTAAGTGAGAAAGGCCACCTGAAAACTTAATAATTGCAGTCAGTTCATCCAGATTATCTATTTCTGTCGGAGGCGCTCAGACCCCCACATACCAGCGGTGCGCTGACAGCAGAAATCTCTTCATCAGCAGCCTGTAGGCTGGGCAGCCTGGGGTTCACCGCGGCTGCTGGCAGGTGTTTTTCATCTAAATAATTTTAGCTGCAGGCACCAGGATACCGGCAATAAAAGCGAACATATTCCGTCAGCAGGTTTCAGGATTTTAAGTTAATTTAGGAGTGATCACAGCGCTGTGTCATCTGCAATGTGTTTGTCTCACGGCCAGCTGCCAGGTTTGATTAATACTTTGTAATAAATACATGAATAAAGCACAGTCATACACAGCTGTATTTTTAAATACGCAGTAGAGGTATTTAAAGGTAGTAGAGGACTTGTACCTGTATATAAAAAACGCGCCCTATAGTCCGGTGCGCCTTATGTGTGTGTTAAATACAGAAATGGGACACATAACTGAGAGTGCGCCTTTTAGTCCGGTGCGCCTTATGGTCGTGAAAATACGGTAGATCTCATTTAGTGGAATTTCCCTGAGATTTTGTTTTCTTTGTTTCCCAATTCTATTTTTCTCTATTTTGCTTTGCTTTGTTCTATTGCCTTTGTGTGTCCAACTTTGGACACACAAAGGCAAATAAATATCCTCAACTAAACTCAGATATGCAGGATGGCTCTCACAACTGTAATTTACAGAAGCGTGTGTTGAGACATGAGGTAGAAATCACATAGTTCACACAGAGATTAACACAAAACCAATAATGACCTTTCTGCAGTACTTGAGCCAAATAAACAGTCTCTGCTCATGCAACAACCCAAGTCTGTGCCAGTCATTTTGGTTTATGTGCTGAGAGATTGCGCCTCCAAGTGGACAAATATAACTAAATCCAGTTTTGGTTACAATGATGGCAGAAGAAACTAGCTGTTAACAATGAGGCACTTGTGAACTCACTTAAATTTAAACCACACTCATGTCACTCATCCCAACACTTCAACTGTGGGAACAATGTTAGCGAGCTGTGCAAAATACTTTGCAGATCTTAAATCAATAGGAGTGCTGCAGCTATAATGCCATTTCAGCAGTAATAAGGCCTTGGTAGTGTTTTTTTTTTTTTTTTCTGTACGACCAATTTCCATACAGTTAAACCACAAGGGTACCAAATATAATAACTTTTTGATTTCAAAAAGCTAACTTTTTTGCAAACTTGATTGCAGTTAATGTGGCTTATTTGCATGTTGAATAAAAAGATGTCACCGGTAATATTGATGCTGACATCTTGTTCTCAGTATTCAATGTTAATAAATGTCTTTCTCTGTGTTTTTATACGGTTTGGACCAAATTTATAATTAAAAATCCAGAACTCAGCTCGATACCTCTATGTGAACAGAATTTGAGATTTATAAAGACTTCTAAAGAGACTGAACAAACTGGTGATAAAAGGTCACTTCTGCCATAGCCTGTGCTCTGGATCAGGCTCGGACTGGTAATCTGTGATACAGGCCCTGCTAAAATCATACTGGCCCTAACACTTTACTCTCTGGCTGAAGCACCTACCTGTGACAGTAAATAACTCAACAAGCTCAAGAGGTAATACAACATTAACTACCTAAATGATGCATGCAGTATATATAGCCCTTGCTTGTCATGCACATCCTTGTGATGGTTGTAATTTTCTATTTCTTCAAAATGTAAAACCCTTCCAACAAACTAAATGATAGTAAAACTAAAATATTCTCTTTAAACCAAATTACAATGTTCCTCTTATATTTGGCGAACTTATGATCGAATATTTAGCAAAGATATGTTGATGGAAAAATGCCAGGGCCTAAAATCATTCCCAGTCCAAGCCTGCTCTGGACTCAGTGGAGTGGCTAAGAAGAGGGTGTTGACCAAGCTTACATACATCATGGAAAACATCTCTCACCCTCTGCAGCAGACTGTAGAGGAGCTGAGCTACACCTTTAATGAAAGACTTATACACCCTGCTTGTAAAAAGGAGCCCTACCACAGGTCATTCATCCCTGCTGTAATCAGACTTTACAAAGTGACACTATAACTGCAATAACTAATGTGCAAGAACTATTTAATACCCTGTGCAATTTTTTTTAATATTTAATACCCATTGCAATAACTATCTATAGATAGATAGATAGATAGATAGATAGATAGATAGATAGATAGATAGATAGATAGATAGATAGATAGATAGATAGATAGAAATACCTATTTATATAAATATCATTTAATACCCTGTGCAATAACGCTGTTAAATAAAAGACTTTAGCTTATATATATATGTGTGCATGCTGCACATATATCCTATCTCACTTTTTCCTTCCTCCTTTTGGCACTTTATGACTATTGAGCCGATATTTCTCCACTGTGAGATCAATTAACTCTATCAATCAATCAAGTAGGGTACTGCATCATCAATGAAAACATGGTGACCCCTATTTTTTCTAATGAAAGCAAGTTTAACATGTATTAAAACTTCAGATTTCACCTCCTATGATGGTCCGAATCAGAGAGGCGTGACCCGGACAGTCCACCAGGGTGAACTGCAGGCTGTCATAGGGCAGCTGTCCCGTGGTGTCCAGCAGGTGGTCAGGGCAGCCCACCGTGAAGGAGGAAAAGCCCAGGTCCAGCGTGATGCCTCTTTCACGGGACTGTGGGTTCTTATCGAAGGCGGCAGTGGAGGCTGTGCTGCTCAGTGCTCTGGCCAGAGAGGTCTTCCCACTGTCCACATGTCCGAGCACCCCGATATTAAAGTTCAGCGTTTTAGCCCGACTGTCAGCTGATTCGGTCATTTTATCCACTGTCTGAAAATCGCTTCACCTAACATACGTGTTTTGCTTCTGTCTAAGTTGGACTGTGGTCTCACCACGTCGCGTTTCTTTCAGTACAAATCCCCCCCGTCGTTGTTGTTTATTTGTTAACATGAATCAACTAACATCATTAAGCGGCTACAAACAACTTTACAACTGAGAGGAACTTCCTTCCAGTTAGTGGAGTACTTCATCCTTGGAAAACAAGCTAAAGCGGAACCACTTTAACGAGTAAACAAAAATGCAAATAATTCCAATAATTCTCAAATAAAAACATTTAAATTGCATTACAACCACATGTCAATTACATCAAATCTCTCTTCAACTTTACACGTACAATGTTTTTAAATGTTTACTATATTATTTTTTCTTTTGTTGTTTCACTACGACAAATTAAAAGAAACACCACCGGAACCATAACGGAGGTACTTCCTTTTTTTTTTCCTTACGATTTATTTTCAACCAATGATATTTCAGAAAGTTTTCAATTGAGCCAATCATCTTTCACATTTTCCATAATAGGCGGGAACTTCAGTGGAGCACTTCCGCTAATTTTCCCTAGTAACCCACATGGAAACCGATTTCTCTATGTTTTGAGTTACGGCGCCGACTGCTGCGGTTTGAAATAATCAATCGAAAAGAAGCATTTTATCACTTTCTAAGGAAACTAGCGTTCCCTGCATTTCACATAAACACATATAACGCAGCTATGAAGATAGAGGAAGTAAAAAGTACTACAAAAACTCAAAGGATTGCCTCTCACAGTCACGTCAAAGGTCTGGGGCTTGACGAGGCCGGGAATGCTAAGCAGGCGGCATGCGGACTGGTCGGGCAGGAGGCTGCAAGAGAGGTAATATTCTGTTTTTACTACTTTGTTATTGTTTATCTCTGAGTGAAAAAAAAACATTGAATAAGATATCTTTCGGCTTTAACACTGCACGGGCCCCATTTACTACATATGCTAACGTTGTTAGCATCGCCAGGTTGCTTTTTATCTCTAGGTTGGAGCTTAAGGATGCGAGGTTAAAATGTCCTCATTTTATGAAATATGGAATAAAATAAATCCTGTTTTGTTCAATATCTTACTAAATATCTCCCTGAGTATGAAGAATATAAAATATACATGTTATGTTGAGATGCTGATATGAGAATAAACAAATATTAATAAACATGATGATAACAATGTAAGTCATATATCTGTAGAACCTACACTGATAGCTTCCTAAAGAGTACAATAGTACTATCTCTGTTTTGGTCTTAAGACACCTTAACCAACTGTGAGTTTTCATATACTTTTGGTTTTGTTTTTATTAGAAGGTCTGATTATGGTTAGGGACATTAATGTAAATGTTCTCACGAACCGACAAATAAGGTTACAAATATGTAATCAGTTCAAAAAAACTAGAGTTTGGCTACAATATTGCAAGTTTAGTTGTGCAACTTTTAAAGGTTCCTGGTATCCTGCAGGCCTTTTGATGGTCATTAAAATTACTTATCTGCTCTTGTTAGATGTACTTGAGAAAGTAAATTTCATTAATCTTTTGTTTCATACTTTGTTTCTTTTTAAAGAAGATTTCATTTATAACTACACTTCCAAGGAAATGTGCTTGTAATTGTTTTTGCAAGCATGCACTTTTTTGTGTGTGTACCGGTATATTGATGTAATTACGCGTAATGTTTCCAGGCCTGCGGGATCATCGTTGAGATGATCCGTTCCAAAAAGATGGCAGGAAGAGCAGTTCTGTTGGCAGGACCTCCCGGAACAGGAAAGGTCAGTTTACCAAAGTGTTGATCTACATATGAATTTAATAACTGGGAATTTTAAGTTGAATGGTGACTGTTATGTCTGCTTTCCAACCTGCAGACTGCCCTTGCTTTGGCTATGGCACAGGAGCTAGGAAACAAAGTGCCCTTCTGTCCCATGGTCGGCAGTGAAGTGTACTCGTCTGAAATAAAGAAAACAGAAGTACTTATGGAGAATTTTAGAAGAGCAATTGGTAAGTATGCTAAAGAGCTCTTTTCCTAACCTCTTTGTATTTAAATGAACCTGTGTTATTTACACACCAGCACATTTAATGCTTTAATAAAAGAGATAATTATTTTATTTAAGGAAAAAAAAGTCTGTCTATTAATGCAAGTCTCTTGCACTGGCAGTAGGAAAAGAAAGAGCTCACTGTTTGAGAGGTGTTTTTGTCTTTTTTTTTATAAAGAAAGGCTAAAGTAAAATCCACCCCCTTTTTATTGCTTTTGCATCACTTCGCATACTCTCTGCAAAGATAATTTCAACAAGGTTTAAGTAAAAAAAAAAAATATGGTTATAAAGTCAAATGAGTGAAATTATTATTTTTTTTTTCTGACCTGCAGTGAAGTCACAACCCTCTTTGCTATACATATTTGAAACAAGTAGTACGCATTGCACTCCCTCCCATTTACTCTGATACCTTTTTGTAAAACTAAGTGCAATTATAAGTATTTTTTTTAATGTAACTTATGGTTGTATAATTTAATTGTAGCATAAAATCAGCTGCTCTCTGGGGGGGTTTGACAGCTTAAGTGACCAAATAGCATCATCAAAAAACAAGCAACACATTTTGTGTTAATGTCCACCTGGTATTGATAACACCATTTCTATTGCAGTTTGTGTTTTAAATAGTAAGAGATAGTGCCAAAAAAAAAGCATTTCTCTGAAACAAAGAACTGTCAGTGGAAATCAGCATCCTCCTTCCTTAAGCTGGAAATTGATAGTAGATTTATAGGAAGGTTTTCTAACAGAAGAGAGAGTTTTTATCTGACTGAATCCTCCCGCTCACTAGAGAGGAAATGGGGCTTAAATAGAGTTCATCAACAGCACATTTGCTCCACCTACTAGATTGATTTGATTTTTTGGGGTGCTGGACTTAATCCTGAAATTTGTCAGCACCTTGTCAGTAACAGCTCTGCAACACAGCCCCTGCCTTAGGCCCAGCTCTCTTACACACAACATGGAGGACCCTGCACCTGTGTGCTGCTCGTACTCAGATCTACAGCCTGGGTGAAAGAAGTGTGATCATGTTACACTGATGCTCTGGCATTTATCTGACAAGCACACGTTCTTCCCTGTTATAAAAGGAATTATTCAGTAGCCTGAAAGATGTAGCGGCTGAGCTGATGCAGGAATATAAAGACTTGATTTATCAGCATTATGAAGTTTTTGTGTGTGTATATGTTCAGGTCTGCGCATCAAAGAAACAAAAGAGGTGTATGAAGGGGAGGTGACAGAGCTGACCCCATGTGAGACGGAGAATCCTATGGGTGGCTACGGAAAGACCATCAGCCATGTCATCATCGGCCTGAAGACAGCCAAGGGCACCAAGCAGCTCAAGGTCAGGTTTAGAGGTTTACACTTTATCCGTACTTCTATTGCATTGAATAAATAATCTTTACATGTTAAATACTTCATGAAACAATTTGTACAATTATTGAAAACAAAAACAATAAACGTTTTTTTTTTTTTTTTATTGTGCCAAGTTGGTAACTTGAACTATGTTGAGCTTTACTTATAGGGGTTTGATTTACAATTCAAGATGTTCATTTTAAAGTATAGTTTTTGTAATATTATTGAATGTGGTGTCGACCTAAAATAAATTTTGCTGTGTTCTCTAGCTGGATCCCAGCATTTATGAGAGTCTTCAGAAAGAGCGTGTGGAGGTGGGAGATGTCATCTACATCGAAGCTAACAGCGGCGCTGTCAAGGTAACTTTTGAGTATTTCACATTTTGTTAAAGTGTAAAAAAATTGTTAAATATGTTATATTTATATAGCAGGAATTATGTGTTAAAAAGAGGAAGCTGGTTTTTGTTAATTTTCTTTTCAATCAAAATAGTGATTTTTAATTAGAATTTCCTTCGTATCAACTGTAAGCATGTAAATGTTTCATTGTTTTATGCTTTTCTAAGCTTGTTCAAGACTAAAAAGCCGAAATCTGATTCTATAGTGCTTAGGAAGGGATTGGCTACAATGATTTCCAGTTCTTACTGCCATCTAGACAAATTCTTTCTGTTTTTTTTTTATGTTCTATAAAAAATAAAACGTGCTGCACTGTTTTTGACACTGAAACTGTTTTAGGATCTACCTAAAATTGTAGCTTTTACAAAACCATCCCCATTGACGCATCAGAGCCTATGTCCAAATCCTGTGGTTCCTTTTCTATACCCAACAGACTTTCATTTAACATCCTGCACATTTTTTTGCAAATTCCATATTTCAGGGCTCAGCACTGCTGTGGTATGGGCAATACATTTTTGGAGAACATCTGTATTTTGTATTTGATAATACAAATACAGGACCAAGTATTCTGAAAAGCGGAGTCTGCAAAAGTTGAACATTTAATTCAGGTACAAAGTTGGACATTTCTACCTGAAATATTAGTAGGAACTTAGTGCATGTTAATTATTCACTGTACTCAGGGTTTTCATAATGACCTGTAGATAGTCGATGGTCATCATAATGTTGTCTTAAATACTTGTATTTGAAACATCTGCTGTAGTAGAGCAATTACCTTGCATTAATCCTTGTGATTATATTTATAATAAATGGTAGAAATTGTTTTTTATACATTAAGATGCCTTTTTTTTAATCAGATTTGCAGATGAAACTATATTGGAATGAAAATATTATGTTAATTCAAAATTTCTGTGTAGATGTCTCTGTGTGTGGGCTTAATGTGTGCAGTGAACCTAGAACAGTCTGCAGATGGTATGCTGCAGTATTAGTTTAATGCTTAATCAGGTCATTATCTCTAAAGGCTATAATGGAGTGTTACCTAATATATGCTCAGCCCGCTTTATTAAAAGGACTGCAGGAATTTTGGAGGTTAAAAATGCATTTTAGAATCTTTTACCAGTGGCACAGCACATCACGCCGTTATACCAGGTACTTTTGTCATCCCCTGCCAGATGATATCCGTTACTCAACAACAAAGAATGCTCAATGGAATGATAATAAACAATGGATTGCGTTAATTTCATAAAAAAATGAATTTCTTTTATGAGACCAAAGTTAATTTTTCTCTCTCCTGTCCGCTTCATGGTGGCATTTTGCTTTCATATCCCTCTGCCCTGTTTGGAGCTCGGCTGTAGTCCTGCTCTACTCATTCCTGCAGCCCTTCATTCTCTGTCTATCTGTACATCTCTCAGCGCAGCTGGCCGGTGGCCCCCGAAGACAGGCAGTGATGACGGGTCTTTTAGTCGCTGCAGGTGGGCTGTGGAGGCTCGGATCTGCTGTAGTTGGATGGCAAAGGAGGGGGCCTGGGTGGCACATTTGTTACTGTTGACAGCAGCCTCATGACCCATTTGATCCCTCAGCCAGAAGTCTTCTCTCTGCAATGAGCTGGCAGCAGCATCACACACCTGCTTCAGTCCTCCTGCTTTGGCCCTGCTGTAAAAAAAATGTTCTTGGTTAATGAAGTTATTTATTGTGATGTCTTTGCAGAGACAAGGTCGCTGTGACACCTTTGCAACGGAGTTTGACCTTGAGGCAGAGGAGTACGTACCACTTCCTAAAGGTGACGTCCACAAGAAGAAAGAGATAGTCCAAGATGTCACACTTCATGACCTGGATATTGCAAATGCCCGGCCACAGGTTAATAAACTGTTCTGATTTGCATCCCTGAAATAGAAGTTATTTATTAATATTGAGAAAGATTGGTAAGCATGAAATGTCTCATTCCAGGGAGGTCAGGACATACTCTCTATGATGGGGCAGCTGATGAAGCCCAAAAAGACAGAAATCACAGGTACTGAAAGGCATCTTCAAACTCCCGGCAAATAAATGCCCAATGCTGATCATCTTTAACTGTCTGAAGAACTGCTGTTGTTTTCCTGCCTCAGATAAACTTCGTGCGGAGATCAACAAGGTGGTGAACCGCTACATAGACCAGGGTGTGGCTGAGCTGGTACCCGGCGTGCTGTTTGTGGACGAGGTTCACATGCTTGACATAGAGTGCTTCACTTACCTTCATCGAGCTCTGGAAAGTAGCATTGCTCCAATCGTTGTGTTCGCCTCCAACAGAGGAAAATGTTTGATCAGGTGAGAATCCAGATGTGCTTTTGGATAAGGAAGGAAGAAAAAGTTTCAGAGTAAAAACAAAAAAAAAAAAATTGCTGTTGTTCATCAGGGGGACGGAGGACATTAGCTCTCCACATGGGATCCCTCTAGACCTACTGGACCGGGTCATGATAATCCGCACCATGCTGTACACACCACAGGAGATGAAGCAGGTGAGTCTTTCAGGGTCTCTGGGCTATAACTTGTTGTTATATGTATTTAACGAGGCTTTGGGTTTTAGATCATCAAGATCCGTGCTCAGACCGAAGGGATCAGCATCAGTGAGGAGGCTCTCACACATCTGGCAGAAATCGGTACCAAAACAACCCTCAGGTAGATACAGCCTTGGATTCACCTTTCTTTTTTTTGTTTTGTTTTTTTTCATTTACTGGATTTACTGGGAAGGTTTCAAATTTAACACACCTGTGTAAATTCTTAGTAATCCTGGACTGAAATTGAAGTATTTATATTTAAAATGAATCAGACAGTTGGGGATAATCCATCTGTCTTTGCATCAAAATGGTTGTTTGATTCATCAATTTGAATAGTTTTCCAACCTGCCTGTCAGCTTTGCAGTGTTGGGACGAACATGTTAAGTAACATGTTACAGTAACTATCTCACCTTTCCAGTAAATAATTGTTTAATTCTATGTAAAGTTTATATTTTATTTTTGTTAAATTACTCAAAAAAGCATTATTTATATGATTCATACCCATTTTGTATCCAATTGAAGGAAATCTGTGTGAATAGAATAGAACTTTATTGTCATTACACTGTCACAAGTACAAAGCAACGGAATGAACCCTCTGCCTTTAACCCATCCCCTTGGGGAGCAGTAGGCTGCCACTGTGCAGCGCCCGGGGAGCAGTGTGGGGTTAAGGGTCTCAGGGGCCCAGAGTCGCAGTCTGTGGGATTGGGGCTTTAACTCAGGACCTCTGGGACACAAGCACAATGCCCTAACCACTAGGCCACCACTTCCCCAGATGTGCAAAAAATGAATGCCAAAACATTTTATTTTTGTTTAACATGGTCACATCCACATAATTATATTGGAACTCACTTGACTAACCACACACATCAAAACAGTTAAGATACATTTTAAATGTTTTCAGATGTGTAGACCTTTAATTATTTTATTTATAAATAATTGCACACAAGCCCTGCTTGAACTGCCATCTTAATGTGGTGGAGGGATTTCTGTGCACAGATGATCTCAGAGGCTCTGTTATCGGGGGCATAAATGCCCCTGGTAGGGTCTCCTAAGGCAAACAGGCTCTGGATGACAAAGAGCAGTTCAAAAAGCCCCCATAAAGAAGCATAATGCCAGCAATTATGGAGGAGCCGGGACTCCACTTTGGAGCCAGGCCTGAGGTGGGGGTTTGTTGGCGTGTGCCTGGTGATCTTTGCACTGATGCACATATTTCTTTGTCCTCTCAGGTATGCTGTCCAGTTACTAACACCAGCCAACCTGCTGGGCCGCGTTCAGGGCAAAGAGAACGTGGAAAGGGAGCAGGTCGAGGAGATTAATGAGTTGTTCTACGATGCAAAGTCATCAGCCAAAATCCTTCAAGATCAGCACCACAAGTTTATGAAATGAAAGTCCGTCTAGCTTCTTCCCCTCCATGCTCAGATGTCACCTTCTCTTTCTCTGCTTTGCTTTTTTGCATCTCAAGCCTTTCACTGTTGTAGTTCTGTTCTAATGGATTTATGGTTTTAATATTTGTTGTTTAAGTTTTTGAAATAAAAAAAAAAGCTCATTCATTTTGCTCCTCGTGTCTTTTGCAGTTTTAATACCTTTCAAAGAGTTAAATATAGAACAACATAACTTGAATACGTGCGTATCACTGTTATCAGTGTGAAGCTTTTAGTAATTGACCTATTGCTCAATATAATATAGTGCAGGTGAAGGGAGATAGGGAGTGCTAAAAATCTGTTTTTACACAGCCTCTAAACACTAGGAAGGACCTTTTTACATAAATATATAAATTGCAATCCTTTTAAACTTGGAAAATACTACGTATATATGACTAAGTAAACATTTTTCATTAATCCATGTTTTTTGAATTAAAATTCAAAAGCAACATTACCAATTTTAAGTCTAGTTGGAATCATAATTTTTCTTATTTATTGAACTTGGCTAAAGTAGTGTGTTCAAAGAAAGACTGAGGTATATACTTTTCTTTGTGCTAAATAGAATAGGAAAAATTCAGGAAGAGAACTTTAGAAATTATACACTCTTCATTTCTCATGTTTCAGATCTACACTGATATAAGAAAATACGAATATTTTTTTACTTTATTTGTTATTTTCAAAACAAATGACTGAATTATGAATTGTTTTAATATTGTTAAAATTGGGACACAACTACATCATGCAAAGTGTATTAACTGTCCCCTGGTGTTCAAAACTATCGGCGGCATAAGAAAGTAGGTCAAACTGCTTTCAGGCTCTGAAAAGACATGATAAATACTTCATCCATGCAGACAGAGCATCTGCATAAAGAAGTGTCCGATTTGTTAAGTTTAGGAATATATTTTTTAGTTATAGTGCATATTCATTTAAATAAGGTCTGAAGCTTATTAAGGTAGATTTGTGTCTTTATTATTCAATTAAAAAAAGGTTGCTTCAATCAAAAAATATATTTTCAATTAAAACACCTTCACTTCAAGGAAAAAGAAAAACTTTACAATCTAAGAAAACTGTATTTGAATTTAAAAAATATAGTTGAGACTCAAAACAATACATAAGAACACTGCTTTTCTTTGATTGAAAATGTTTTCTTTGATATAAGAATTATATATATATATATTTTTTTTTTAAAGAAACGTTTTAAATTGAAGTAACATTGTTTTTTGATTGGGCCTTATAATGGGTAGGACATTTGTGTCTTTATCATTCAATCAAAAAAGTTGCAAACAATTTTAATTGAATAATAATAAAGACACAAATGTACCTTCATAGCAGCTCCTCCTGACAATATTTTTGACAAAAAAAAGAATCTTCCAACCTGATAACTTTAGATTCCATTACATTTGAAACCATGTTGGATAGGAAAGGAGAGATTTACCCATACTGTTGTATGTTTTCTTTATGATTTATGAGTAGTTTATTTAGATTAAGGTTTCATTTTTAGTAACTTTAGGAATCTGTTAAACAAAAAGCTGGTTTTATTTCTGTTGTTTGATATGTTAGGAATATTTTTTTTCCCCCATTCTTTTCTTCAACTACTCTAATTCTTACATATTTGAGTCCTCTTTGTTTCTTGCCTGCTTAGCTGTTCTTGTTTTGCCAACTATTTTGTATTTAGTTCTGCTTTGTTTGTGTACTTTTTTATTCCCCATTTTAGAGGAATTTAAATCCTCATAAGATATCTTTAAAGAAACTTTTGTACAGAGCCCAGATGTTTATGCTTTGAAATACAGCAGAAAGCCTGAGTAAAACATAGCTGTTTCAAATCTGTGCTTAAATTAATTGATGATAGAAGTTTTACTTAACTCAAAGCTTTATTAAACATACCTCTGCTGGTAATAGTTGCATGATATGAAACAACAATAAAATAATGTTTTCGGCCACAATACACAGGCAGAGAAAACAATTGGTCGCATGCAATTCACATGGAAGAGGCGGCGATCATCCGTGCTGAGGATGTTTCTCTTTTACTTCCTGGGCTCTCGAGGCGAGCGGGTGTTGAAAGCAGTCTCTGCCCCAGATCTCGCTCCACTGAACACAGAGGGTGCAGCTTTACCCTTTTTTTCTACAGAGAACCAAGATAAATCAGAAGATTTCACTGAATAGCAGACAAGCTGTTACATAAACATGCGACTACACTGGAAAAACGATCTAGAAATAAACAAAAATGTCTTAAATGAAGTGTATTTCCCCTAATTTGAGTAGGTAAATGAGACAATTGTTTTCCTCTTATTTTAAATGTAAACTGTCTTTTTCCATTGGCAAAATGTCTCACTTTCCTCCTCAATTCAAGAATATATTCACTTATTTAAAGAATAAAATGCACTTAATTAGATTTTTTTGCAGTATGCTCATATTTAATCCCCCTGGATAAGACTGGAATGTCCCATCATTAAACCCCATTTCTGTATATGGACTGGAAACTACGACATCGTACATAACTCCCCTAACAGTCATTATGTGTTTCCAATTTAACCAAATACAAAAGATAAAAAAAACAACTAGTTGTAGTGAACATAGTTTCAAATAGCACTACCATAAATGTGTTAACATGTATAAAATCATCCTCACCACACTCCTCCATTACTTCAAAAGTCTTGCCCTTCACGGACCCACTCCCACCCAGTTTGTTCTTTGCTTCAGTAAGGTCCTCTTCTCTCACCGCAGGACGCTGTGTTTGTTCATCTTCCTGTGTAGGCTGAGAGAAAAAATAAATAAAAGTTAAACTAATCTACAAATCTGCGGCCACTGAAAACTGAAAACTTTAACTCTTACTTGAGACATGGTGTTCACACAAAGGCAGATTCTCAGCTTTAGATATTCTTCTCTTCCTGACAGCTGTCTCTCTGCTAGGCTGCCCCCGGCACTCGCTCACATAAACAGACAATCTGGCAATGATTTCCTAGTGAACATTAAATCTGCTTTCTGGACATAAGTGAGCAGGCTCCTCCTGTCCACAGTCTCATTACAAAATGATGAGATCACGACTGAAACTTGTGCCGTTAAACTTCACCTAACGAATCCCAGAGATGTAGGATGAAGGGTTTTTATTTGTTTCTGATGGACTAAACTTCGTTGGGAATGCTTTTGAAGATTGCCAAGTACAAACATAACAGACTAAATGTATATTATAATGCATCAAACCTCTCGGCAGACTCTTTTCTAATGTTCACTTATACAATATAAATACAATTCCAACTCACAGTACAACAAACTGAAATATGTCTCATTGTAAAAGAATGCTTTCCCAAGTCCTCCTGCTTGATTCCCAAACCGACATCATTGTTTAGATTGTGTGTAATCTAAATACAGCAAAACAGAAAGACCAACAGATCACTGGAAAGTGTTTCCCAGCAACATGTCGGGCTCGCTGAACAGATCCTTTAAAATGTGATCGCTGTCATCCTTATATACTTATTTAAGGAACCTGAAAATACAAAGCTAGAGAAAGAGATCAGGGTTTTGCTTCTTTCGTTCACGTTCAACAAAATCACATGGGTTTCACTGATGCTTAAAACTTTCCAAACAAGCAAAATTCTGATCTAAAAAGAAGCCTCAGATTTACAGACAGTTTACATGTTTAGTACTAAAAATGTAAACTGTCTTTTTCCCTAACTTTACCTCTTCACTAAATCCCAGTAATGATGCTACTGTTATGTAAGATGATTCAGGTTTGGTTATATGTTCAGTTCAAATTAAGTCCATTTTTATTAAAGGGGTCATATCATGCAAAACCGAGTTTACATTGTCATAGATGAATAACGTTAGTTCAGTGGGTGAAATAGACGTACAGAGAAGTTTAAACCCCATCGACACCTCCTTTCTCTGCAAATCTCACAATATTAAACTTCCACCATAAAACGGGCGAATCCAAACGAAGCCCCGAGTTGACGTCAACTCGGGGATGTTGGCTTATTTGGTTCTGGCCTGTCCTTTTGTCACGCCCTGAGATTTACAGACCAGCCCACTGGTTCACTGGCCCAAGAACATGAACAGAGGTAGGTGTAAGACACCAGTTTAGCTGTTTACCAGTTACAGTTCGGTTTACTTCCTCAAGAATGACAAAGCGAGCAGTTTCTCTATTGAAAATGAGCCAGAATCACTGATGTAAATGCAAATTTTCACAGTCTTCCCGAAGACTCAACAGGCATGGATTATGTTTGTCTATCAGAAGATCCTTCCTGCCTTACAGGGCAGGCGGGGATACCATCACTGTGTCGGTGGTCTGGTCACCATATTAACAACTTATTGTTTCAGTGAGTGAGTGCTTGTTGCTATGATGCGTCTTTGCTCAGCAGCTTTGCTCTTTGTAAACCAACCAATCAGCGCACATCCCATCTAAATATCCATGAGAATACCATAAAAGGAAGAAAACCTGTTGTTTCATTCTGGGGCTTTTAACCAGGCTTGCATTACGGGGGCATAGAACAGCAAATACGCCATTTTCAGCCCAACCAATGTTAAAACATCCTGTTCAGAGACCTTAAGGACCAGAGCTAAATACCCTATATAATCATACTATGACCCCTTTAAAATTAGAGCATTTCCTGTTGAATTCAGCAGGTTAGTTAGACACTTTGCCATTGGAATAAGACTATTTACAGGGAAGGTATTCCTCTCTACTGTCACTAAATGCTTGCTCAGACTAAGGAAGCACTGCAAAGGAAGTGGTCAATTTTGAATTAGGCAAGTTGTAGCTCTTAGCTCCTTTCACAATGGTAAGAACTCTATCTTGGATAGGAAAGGGACTCCATACTGCTTTGATTAATCTGGACAGCCTTACTGTAAGTGTCACACATGTTATCACTTGAAGGAACCACACATAGGCGATGCAAGTCAAAACTAATCCTACGGCAAAAAGAACTGAAAAAATGAGGGAAATTTTCCATTATAAAACCCAAAATATATGGTGTGAAAATTTGCATGTGTCACAAAGAGTATTGTGAAGAAATAATATATTTGTTTTAAACTCTGTGAGGTAGGCTGTGGCTACACATCCTTTCACACAAGATTGTGGGAAACCTTACAGCTTCTCAGCAACATATACGAAGGCTAGGACATCCCTATGCTAAAGGAACCATGACAAGAAGCATCCTGCTCCCTTTTCCTACCTCCTTGCTTACTGCCTGCACTATTCAGACAGAACTTATTGTGATTGTTGACGCACTTGGCTGAACTGTTTTTACCAATTAGCAGTCCATTTGAAATCCTTAGAAAACTGTACCAATCCTCATTATATGATTACTACTTTGGATTTATCCAGGATTGAAATTAACGGTGTTTTATCAGATATTAATCTAACTAGATCAAATAAAATTGGTTTGAATTCAGTTTGCACTTAAAAGGGTTCTGTGAGTAGAGTATGAATAAGAGATTACATGTTAGTTGGCTCTAAAGAAATAAACCAAACTGAAATAACTCAGCATTCAGAATGTTTTGTTCTCGTAGCATTGAACATTTATACAATTTCATCCCAGTTACATTGTTTTGTTTAATCTGTGCAAAAAAGGTTGGTAACAGAAATCAGAAGTATTTTTCAAGTACAGTCGTTGTTTCCATTCATACATAGATCCTAAAACAAAAATAATGTTTTTAATACATTTCAAACAGGAATGTTTTAAGAGTAAATAATAACAATTACATTAAAATAAACTTCCCGTCCTCTTTATGTCTGTTTGGCAGTAACTGATATCCAGTTTCTAATCTCCTTGTGTTTCCCATCAGCAGCAGTTTCTTGTGTGATTAAGTCTGTTTCTTTCTGTAACGGGGCAGCAGCTGTGTCCTCACAAACTGAACGAGCCGAGTCTCTGTGAAAAGAACAGCCACCAGGACGAAAAGCAAACAAACTCCTCCCACACAGATATGGAGCATCCTGAGCAGCCAGCCGCCGTTGCAGCAGAAAGCAGCCTGAAAATTGAAACAAAAGTAGCTGAATTCATATGAAAAAAAATGTCGCATAGCACTTTCTTGCTAAAATATTTATTACACTGAGCTTTATTACATTCTGTCATCTTATATATCATCTTTGTTTTTTGTTATATACATTTAGAAGTACATTACTGTGAATCGGACACAATAATTCCTTGACTTTATATTATTCAGTGATAGCTCTGATTGTTTTAGTGTAATTGTCTTGCTTCTAATTTAACCTTTGCCACCAAATGATCGTGTATTTAACTCCATCCATCTTTTTCCAGTTAATCTGATCAACTTCATTCTCCCTGCTATATTAGAGCTTCCCCACAGCATAATGCTGCCACCACCATGTCTTACAAGGGCAACGAGCAACATTTTAAAAGGAAATTGTATAGAGGAGGTTAGATTCAGGATAAGATCTGTATTATTGTTATGCAAAAGAAAAACCTTAGTTTTTTCTCTTCAGCTCTTTTTATGGGATTGGGTAGGAAAATCTATTTTAGTTCTCTATGTGGGTTACTTATTTTAAATCATTTCACATTCATATGTAAACAGAGTTTGCATTATTTTATGGCATACACCACCAGTAACATTTTTTCTAAAAAGTTAAAAGATCAATCCACATCCAGGAAGCTTTTTCAATTCAAAATGTCAGAAATGGCATTGGGGTCAAACCTTAAAAGAGTGGACCTAAAACAAAGCCTTGCTTTGGCTTAGAAAACACGCAAACTGAACATGAAGAAGGGGTCTGCCTCTTGATGCTGATTGATGTCTATAAAAGAGCTATATACTGCCCATTCCTAAGGGTCAGATCCGTTTTTCCGGTTCATTTTGCCTGTTTTCTAAGCCAAAACCAGGCTTTGTTTTTGGTCCACTCTATAAAGCATCGAACTCAACACTATTTCTGACATTTTGAATTGAAAAAGCTTCATGGATTGGAAAAGAAATGTCTTCAAACTTGGAAAAAAAGTCCAGTGGATTGTTTTAAAATTTTTTTGGAATGAATATGACCTGGATGACTGAGAATCTTTACCAGCATACTACAGTAAAATACATGTAAGCAAAAAAAATTGAAAATGTTCAAGGCTCTCTAAATAAATATAAACATTAAATGCATAAATATAAACATATTAAAAGATAAAACCATTTCAGAAGTACCTCAGAAACTGCTGTAACCACAGCGCTCAGGATAAGCACCACCAGCAGGAGCGGGGAAGGCAAAAGGCCTCGCAGAGGTTTCCACTGACTGAACTGGAAGTAGTGGTGAATGAAGAGCAGGCTGTGGGAGATCCGTAGGGCCATGTTGAGGCAGTTTGCCAGTATGAAGCCAACGCCGCCGGCCCACCATGTCAGCATGTAAGACAGGACGAGGAAGGACACAGACAAAGCCAGCATGACCAGGTTATACCTGGGGAAAAAAAAAAAAAAACTCAGAGATAAAGTAACAGATTCCGGGTTGTGTGAGATCTATGAGCATCTGTTTTGTCTCACTACTTACTTGTCGACTTCCTGTTGGCTCATGGCAGCGAATACAAAGCACTCTGTTACACCGTTCACAGCCAGTAGGAGAACATAGCAGCTGTAGCATCGCAGCAAACCAGGTCCTTGAAGTAAATCAACAGATTACCATACCGAGAACAGAAGGGAATCAAATATTCTTCAGAATTTCTGCTGAGTTTGGAACATGTACCAGATCCACTGCTTAACAGAGCGCCACCATAAAGATCCAGAGCCAGGTGAGAGTATGCATATCCAAATACGGTGATGATCAATCCGATCACCAGTACCAGCTTCATCAAACACTCAAGGACCTCTGCTGCAATCGCTACATCTTCCTGTGTAGGAAAATACAATATTAAGTGAGAAAAGCAGGGATTGCTACCTCATTGTGTTTTGATTTGTTCGCACCCCCTCCTCAGACCTTTTTCTGACTTTCTATATCCCGTCCTCTCTCTAACACTTTGGCAAAGAAGATGTAGAAGCTCTCCTCGATGGGCAGGAAGATGAAGCGAGCCACCATGGAGCCCAGGTTGTTTACAATGTCATAGATACCCTGGTCGCCAAAACTGAGGACGTTAAGAAAGGTCATGACGTAGCGCTCCCCCTCTGTCAGGATCTGCTTCAGGAAGGACTGCTTGAAAAAGCTCCACGTGAGCCGGGCCACGGTCCAGTCTACCAGTGGCTGTAAATACAGCAGATTTTTGGAATGTTAGAGCGCACTGGGTGACTTCAATCATTACACAATCTGCATTGAATTAACAACCTCTCCTTTAGCTTTGCAAGGCAACAGATCCCTGACGTGCTGCAGAGGAAATTTCTTCTTTTCTGCTTCTTTGGACCCCAAGAAACGAATAAAGTAAACGACGTAGCATACCACAAAAAATCCTGTGTACACCAACTAAAAGAGAAACACGAGGTAACACATTATTGAGAAATGCCAGGAAAAAACGTCATCTTCAATGTTTTGAGACATAAAAAACTAAAGGGTGCTAAGTGTATTTGTATTGTGCACAACATGGACTATGGTCTGTAGTCTACATCACATCACATCGGTATGCGTTTTATTCGCAGAGAACTGTTGTCTTACATGGGCAGCAGAGAATATGTAAAGACCCCAATCGTGCGCGAATACCACCAACACCACGGTGACACTGCACTTGGCGACCATCGCTAAGCTCTCAGCGATCACTTTCAGTCGCACAAACATGTGCGCTTGAGCCAAGACCCAGAGGGGCTCAGCCAGGAGCTCCTGCACCCCTGAGAAGGCAAACAGCACCACAGAAGGACCATAGTGAGGGACCGTCTGGGCATCTGGCACCTCCAGGAGCCACAGCCACACACATCCAAGAAGAATGGCCCACAACACACCGAGAGGAACTCTGAAGAGTGAGACACAAGAATCTGTGTGTGAGGGGAGGGAGGGATGCTGAAATATGATATAGACTGGTTGCTAAAATAGGCTTATCAATAAGTAAAACTAAGTACCCTAAACTAAGAGATTGAAAGGGAAGCTAATCTAAGATATGGTAACTAAGACAAGGCAAGGTCAATTAAGCCATGGCAAGGTAAGGCAACCTAAGTGGAAATAAGGGAATGGAGCCTGAGAGAAGCTTTGCTATTGACAGTTAAGATAAGCCAAAGTAAACTGAGGGAAGGAAAGAAAAAAAAAAAACAAGCTACGTGTAGCTAAACTACACTAAGCTATGCATTTCATCTGCATTGTTTGATCTCCATAGTTTATCTTTGATGTTCAGGACATGAACCTTTCCAAGCCACAGTTCAGACCTTAAGAATCATCAAACTCTTCGGTCTTCAGTTATTTCAATCCTGAAGTACTCCCAGCTGTTATTAAACCCCACACAAATCTAATGTTTCCTATTGAGACATATCTGCTCTTATCAGCACCTACCGTAACTCATGTATGAGTAACTCACGTCAGCCATAGGAGGTTGATGACTTGTCTCCAGCTGCGGTTTGTCCCTGATTCTCCACTCAGACAGGCTCTCCTGAAAGCCTCTCTGGATAAAAACACTAGCGTGGAATATAACAACGTGAGCCTGAATCATAGAGATACACAGAAGTATAAGTTAGAGCAGCAGGTGAGCAGAAACCCCCCTCCTCCTGTTTTTCTCTCTCAGCATCTTTATTTTTACCTGACGTTCACCACCCCGATCAGCTCTTTGGAGACGAATCTCAGCGTGAAAGCGTTCAGGAGGAAGGTGAGGACGCGGAACATCACCTGGGAAACACGAACTAAGAAATCAGAAACACAACCTTTAGACCGACTCGGAGCACATGCAATTATTCACCTGTAGCAACACGTTATACGAGGCCAAAGTGGACGCATTCTTCAGGATATCCTGGGTGCTCATTTTGAAACTTTGAAACCTTCGGTCTGTTTTTATGTCAATGAGGAACCCGAGTGTTTTTAGGATGGAAAAACATCCTTTACTCACTGATTAGAACAGCTCATACAACCTGAGTAGAATTACTTCCGTACACATTGTACGGAATTACGTAGGGTGATGACGTAAAACGTTTGTTCTTAAGTGTCCCCGCAAGAGGGCGTAGTTCTCCCTTTGACGATTTGAGGCATGGTTATAATGCCTCCCGGTTGGACGTTTGTCTTTATTTCTAAAAATAAAGATTAATTTTTTACAATAAAGGAGTAGGAGTAATTATTTTTATTTATATAAATATTAAATAACAATTTAGGCCACCATAGATACGTGTTTGCTCTGCCAATGTCTGAAAATACTTTTTAAGAGATGTTGAAAAGCATTCTGATATAAAGTTATCGTTTTTTTTATTTTATTAACTGTAAAGTTGTCCTGTGGGATAAACCACCACACTAGTCTTTCAGTCAAAATAAATTCGTGACAGCTTTTGTCAGTGCTAAAAAAAAAAAAAAAAAGCTTGGGCCACAGCATGATGTTGCACCACTCTGCTTCCCCTTGGTGATGATTTTCGGGGCAGTTCATATGCAATACATATTTTATGTTGGACATAGGTAAACAAAAAAACTGCACATTGGTCTGGTCCAACGAGAGCACCCTTTTCCATCTCAGATATCCTCTGTTGGTTCTCCTCCCTTACTAGACTGCAGGGTAAACCAGTGAAAGTTACCCTGAGCTCTTGTTCTCTGCAGCTCCTCCAGTCACTGTGGTCTGGTTGATTATGTATGTTCTCTAACAAACCAATGTAGCTTTCAGAGCAGCTGCATTTATTTGAAGATATAAATACAAAAAGTGATTGCCATTTACTGACTTGTTAGATTTTACATACTGATCACAAATACAAACCCTAATTTTCAGACTTCAATAAAAAAAAAGGAAAAACATATGGTAACCATAAGTTTCTTTAGTTTTATTTCGTATTTATGCTTCATTCTCTGATGGTCTTTTACATAAAATATCTAACAAAATACATATATTTAACCTTGAAATAAAAGTGTTGAAAACATTTGTTCCCCATGTACAAACTCAAAACTAATGTGATCATTTTAATAAGAATTCACCCATAGAATGTGTATAGCTACACCTCTAATAGCTTTATTGTTACATACAAAAAAGCAGCAATCTCAGGAGCTGACTGTTTTTTAAAAATCGGATGTTAATATGGAGATGGTAAAAAAAAAAAGGAAAATACATCATTACCGAACCAATGCACGTTACAGAAATATACATCTAAAACATTTTTACACAGCAATTTAGCTAGACTTGACTGCATAGCTACATTCAGATAACATTATTATCAATCTCTCTGTATCAAATACTTCCCCAGCCTCTACATATAGCAGCATTCGATACAGCAATGGGCAGCCGGTGGTGTTTAAATTTAATCTTTTCATCTTCGGTCAAGAACACGACCTAAGCTGAATCTTATTGTACTTTAAAGCGGTCAAGTCAAAAGCAACAACTCAGAGGTTTCAGAGATAATATCCTTATTTATCTACAGTTTGAAATGCTGTTGTTCTGAGCCATTCACATGCACTCACCTGATTTACATGATTAATCTACAACTGAAATACACAGTACTGTTTACACAATGAGCCGTTTCCTCCTTCTATTATTCACTATCTCCATTTACACCCAGTTGGAGGTGAAGAAGGAAACACAAAGGCTGAAGATAGTAGCACTGATGTTACATGAAGTGAAAGGATAGGATTTTCAGCCTCCCACCATATTATTATTATTCATAAAGGCTTTCACAGCCATAACCAATAATAAGCATGCACAAAAAGACGATGACATCAGTATATACAGTACAGGCATTTTGTTTCTATATGTACCAATAGGGAATAGTTTGCACCTCAAATAAAAGTTACATAAATACTGATTAATTTGAGGAAGACTTTATTTGTCTGTAAGTTGGGAAAAAAAAGATCCCAAAACAACAGGAGAAACTCCTGAGTCTGATGATAGAAAACTATCACTTCTCTAGAAGGTGCTCCATCTTGGGATTTATGAAGGAGAAGCCAGCGAATGCAGACTGGTCCATGGAGTCTATGAAATTCTTATCGCTGTAAGAGAGCCGCGCCTTCTCATTGAGGAACTCACGATCGAAGTTGCTGCAGTCGTTTGGTGCTTTCTGCAAATGAGAGGAAAACCAATTTCAGAAAAGATGAAAATAATTTGGACACTATCACATAACAGAGCAGGATCCTAGCCAAAAAAAAAGGATGGAGCATACCACTTTGGGTTTGAAGGGTGGGTCAACCTCTCTCCTCTCCAAGGACTGCCAGTCAATGGTCTTAAAGAAGGAGTGTGAGCGCAGGTTTCCAACAACCCCTAGCCTGTGCGACGGATCTCTCTCAAACAACTGCAAAGAGGAAAACAAGTTATAAAGGTTAAATTAGGACATGCTTTGTTATGTCTGCACCCCAGTTGTTATTTCTCAGGGCTTTGGGTAAATACGGATTATTGTAAGAAGATGCACCAAAGTAAAAAAAAAAAAAAAGAGTTAGAAATACCTAAAATTGTGTGACACCCTTAATGTGGCTTAAAGTGGTTTTTATTAAGATTTCAGAAAGCCATTCAATAACACTGCTGCCCCTCCCCTACGTGTTGCTCCACGCTGCCTACTAACTATCCTCCCTTACAAGAAACAACTAATTTGCTAACATTTCCTGTTGCAAAACAAAAAGGCTATGAAGTGGAAACCAAAAGTGTTATATATTTATTACTCTAGCAAAAAGACAGATAAAAAAATTTTAGAACTGAAAAGCTAACTAAATTTTTGTCAAAAGTAACTGTCATTAAAATGTTGGATTATTTTACCAGGAGTGGGTATAAAAACGTCCTTCCTGTTTTAAGGCAAAGTCAGTTCACCATTTATTTTTGAAGTTGTCAGCCCTTGTGTGTTAACTCAGTGAAACCAAAGTATCATGAATTTACAGGTTTATCATCAATTAGTCTCAAAATATTGATTTCTAAGTGTAAAGCATGATAATGTTTAAAGGTTATAGCTGCAACTTTTTAACCAAAATAATTCTTTTTCAAAAATAATACATCTATAGAATGTCTAGGGTGGTACCAAAGGAAAGTATGAATTTTACGGCAAAGAAATAAAAATAAAATATTTTTTTATGCATTCTGGTAGGTCCAAAATATCTATATATATTTACACCAAAGGATTCTAAACCAACAGGAATAGTGGCTCTGTGATAGTGTGAACATTGTTTTAGTTTTTGCGCATTGGTGCCGACTTAAGGAAGCAAAGGGGCTCAGAAGCCATGCAGAGGTTATCGCTGTCCTCCTGGACAGGTAAGTCAAATGTTTTTTTAATACTAACCAAGGTTAGTGTTAACAATGGCAGACCTGCAAATAGCTGGTAATCAGTACAATTGAAAGTTAGAACAAGAGCTGGCGAGCATGAGAGCACCACTTACTGGCTGGAAGGAGTAAAACTTGTAGCTAAAACCTCAAAATCAACTATGTTCATTTCATTTTGTAAACAAAGTCTTTAACACTTCCATGTGCCTTATTTATAGGTACTGAGTACGGTGATAAAGTACACTATACATCAAATTCAGAAACAAAACATATACGTACCCATTACACAGAGAGTGAAATATTTCAAGACTTTATATCAGGTCCCACGACCCCAAGGCACTCATTCACAGCTACTAATAGAGGCGAGGTATTGTAGGAAGAGCTGCCCTAGGCGGACTGTCAGCAGGGAAGGTGGGTTAAGCCCAAGCACACAAGGACAGAGATGGATGCAGCAGGGGTTCAAACCAGCAACTCGCCGGACGAACCCCTACCCCCTGACCCCCCACTGTCCCTTTTATATATGTAGCATCTTTTCAGTTTGTTTTTTTCCTGCACCTCCTCTATTTAAACCCTCTTTTCACCATCACATGGGCTATCTGTGATCAGCAATCTGTTCACATCATATTTCAGCTCTACTTGACTCTCCTCACACCACCTCCTGAGCAGCAACATAAAAATCCAACCCAGAAAAAAAAAAAATAAAAAAAACAGTGATGGAAAGACTAAGCTGGCCGAGTGGAGCTTTAGTAGAGTTTGTAGCTTTAGTAAAGCTGTCGCCAAATCAATTTTTTCCCACACCCCTGCATGTTAGGGACCTGGGTCTACAAATAAAATGCACACTTAATTTCACCGACAAAGAGGGCTTCTGACCCCTGGGCAACTGTCCAGTCTTTTTCTCCTGAACACAAGCAAGATGGTTGTGAGGTTCCCTCAGGTTCTGGAGTGACTTGACAAGAGGACTTTGACATTAGTAGCCAATGTGTGGGATCAATACAAACGTGGGTCTAGATGTGCTTACTCTAGCTTTAGTTCTCATCAACAAATTTTTTAACAGATTTTGCTTGATATGCGTCTCAAAGCCACAGTTTTCCATGCTGCTGCTTCACCCTATCCTCCCAAAAAAAATTTCCACTAAACTTAAGCCGTTGTAGGTACCAGATCAGGTGGTCAGATCTGCTCGGGGACTGTGCATGCCAGTGACACTATGTGAGTGGTTGAGCATTGCCGTGTGACGTGAAACATTTTAGTTGCCCGGACAAGGATAATAACAATGCATCGTCTGTGTGCCAAGTCGGGGGTATCTGTAGTTTCGGCGTATCTAAAGACCGATGAAGTTTTACCTCATCGATAACAAAACTGATAAAATGCATTTATGGGGAGAAAAGTAACTGCAAGACCATGATATAAAGGGGGAAAGCTGGGTAGCGCTGTGGCTAGCTTTGCTCAGTAGCTAAAAGGTTAAACATGTTTTAGTTATTAAGCTACACTACTTTTTAACTTCTTCTGAACAACAACCGTTCATTTTTTACAAGTAGAATAAATGTTGTTATCTAAAATCTCTACAACAGTCATTTCTAAGATGTTTCAAAAAAATAAGGTTAGACTTTTTGTGTCACCTTGTTAAATGGCACAGCTCATTCTGTGTTAGAAGGCGGTGCTTCACTACAAGACTGAGAATGATTGTTTTCTACTTTTAGCTACTGTAGATTGTCAATGAAATGTAAAATAAAAGCAAATGTGGGTAATAATATGTTGAGACTTCAGAAGTAATCTGACTCTTAAGAAAAGGGTGCAATACAGTTTGTCCGAGCAGCGTTGCTGAATGATGACGTCATAAGAAATGGAAGAACCTCAAGCAGATCTGGTATCTACAAAGTAAGCCTTCATCAACCAAAATCATTGGAAATGATTAGTTGAAACATTTTATTCTGTCTAATGAATCAATATGAAAGTCTGACTTCCTGAAATGAGCCACTATTACAATTTCCCTGATTTCTGATAAGCAGTACTTATTTAGTATAAGCTGTTAATTTTATCAAGATACAATAGTATTATATAGGATTTGTTTTAGGAGTAAAAACAAAAAAATCAATGTATGATATATTAGTGCATTAAATGCAATTTGAGGTTGTTGAATAATCAGTTAAAGCTTATTTACGATAATTGGTTGTCTGCTTCTGGAGTTTAGTTGAAATGAACCCTGTGGTACGAACCCGTTCAAGCAAATCTTTGGCTTCCTTGTTGATCCAACGAGGATAGTGGGGAGTGTCCATGCGGATGGACTCAAACAACTCATCCTCATCGTCGCCGTGGAAAGGTGACTGACCGATCAGCATCTCGTACAGCAACACCCCAAATGACCACCAGTCGACTGAGAAGGAGTACTTCTGCCCCAGCAGGATCTGCATTGAAATAGAGAGCTTTCAGTGAGATGTTTTACTTGTGGATAAAACATGATTGTGTTTCTAACAAAAAAAAAAAAAAGAGGGTGTGAGTGAAAACTTTACCTCAGGAGCAATGTAGTCAGGAGTACCACAGAAAGTCGTGGCCCGATTCTCCCCAAACACGTTCTCCTTACACATGCCAAAGTCAGCTATCTTTATGTGGCCCTCATGATCCAGCATCACATTATCTAATTTAAGATCTCTGAAAATGATCAAACAAAGAATATTAGAATTAAACAAGACTATTAAACTATTTTGTGTAAAGATAATCACAGACCATTAAAAACCAATAATGTTTTTTTTATGTGTGACTCCAGGTGCATTTCAATAAATCAGAATAGAATAATTAAGGTAATATATTTTAATAACTTTGTTCAGAAATAGACATTTTTAATTATATAGATTAAATATACTGCAGAGGTAATGTGGTTAAAGTATTTCTGTGCATTTTTGTTGATGATGGCTTACAGCTCATAAAAACCCAATGGAAGACTAAAACCCGAAAAATTTCAATAAGGAGTTTAAAACAGACTCAAACATTTCAAAAAGTTGGTCCAACTGAAGAACAGAATATGCACTAAATACTTGTTCCTTGGTATTGCTGAGGGGTTTATAGTGACTTCAGCTTTTCTGCAGATGACATGGATCCCTAGAACAACATAATGGCTCTCAAATAACTTGAATTCTGTCCTTTCTATGAAATGAAAAGCAACAAGCATCTGATGATGTTGTGTTTTCTAACAGTTTTCCTTGACACCCAGTCAGCAGTCCCCTTTACATAACATTTCTGGATTAAAAGCCCCCTTTTTAGTGGATCTTATGTACTATTCATATCATCAGAGAAACTAAAATTAATTTTCTCTTCTCATCATTTCTAACAATCACAGGAAGAAAAACGTGAAATACATCACTCTGCAGCTGAAGAACTGTAAGAACCCAGTTCACCGGAACACATTTGTATTTATTCTGTAGCTTCACAAATCCTTTATGTTAAAACAGTTGCATAATGGTGTTTAATAAGGGTTCTCCTCCCATCGCTATTGGACGTGCAGTTTTATTAACAGCCGTTGTTCGTGACTGCTTTACCACACAATGGTTTTAAACTTTCTGAGCTAAGAAATGTGTGGGATTACCTAACCAAGCAGCTTCTGTGAAAAACATACCAGCAGCTTGAGGTTGATAAAAAAAAAAAAAAAAAGCAGACCATGTGTGAAGCAGTTTTAATATTGTCTCTCTTGTTAATTAGGACTTATTTCTGACCTGTAGATGATCCCTTTAGAATGCAAGAACTGAAGGCCGCATAAGATCTCAGCAGAGTAAAACCTGAGGGAGAAAGAGAGCAGAGACAGCCAGGAATCAGTCACTCGCTTCTGATGGAAAATTGCAGCTCTGTGCCGCCGCCTAAGCAGGGAGCTGACAGCTGAACACCACACTCATTTCAGCTCAGACCTGAATAATTCAGGAGGACATTTGTTTGGTGTAGAATACAAGTGACTAACGCTCTCATAATGGGAAACCCAAGAGCTTGTGTGAGCTGAAAGATTAGCCTATCCCTGACCTGCTTCTCCTTCCATCAGACAGGTGAAACAATTCAGCAGCGAGAGCGATCGGCAGACCGATCCAACTCCTGCTCATTTAGCAGGTTCCACTGATAGGAACCAAATAACATGTCAGCTTATACCTAGTCTTGCTTAACAAAGCTGAGGAAAATGAACCGTAAAACAGTCCAGCTTGTGTATTTAGCTTCAGTGTTAAAAAGACTTTTTCACAGCTTCAAAAGTACTTGTGGAGAGAACAGGTTTGGTGTGGGTAAAAAAGGTCATTTGAAACCTTCTAAAGGAAAAGTGTTGCATAAGCAGATACGATGGATAACCATACAGCTCTCTGTTGACTGAGTCGGCTAGTACAGCCACACAAAAGATAATAATAAAGAAACCGAAAGGTTCTATGTACCAAAATCATGCCCAATATCCTCAAACTTGACTGCATGTGTCATGCAATTAGTCTTTTGTACAGGAAGCTGTGTAGAAACAGGAAAACATACACAGAAGTTGTGTGAAGCAATGGTTCTGTTTTAGTTGGGCTCCTCGGACCACCGAAAACAGGATGTATACGGTGTCAGAGACAAGAGCGAGCCTTTTTAGGGATAAAGTCAAGAACGTCTAACTTGAAGTAGATTGTAGAAACTCTAATGGCAGAATATGCAAGCAAACACATTCTACAGGGTAAAGTAAAACTAAAGAGTTACTGCATTGTTAAAACAATACAAAAGGCAGCATGGCAAAAGGGGCGAGTTTCAGGAGGGATAAAATATCCTGCTCAATGCAGGAGGATTAAACAATTGCCAGCACAGGATTCGGTTTCCATGTTTACTAAGTACCGTGTTACACATGTCAAAGACACAACTACTAGGTTAACTAACAAAGCTGCAGTAAGGGGAAACCAGTGATTGCATGCTGTAGTTGTTAGAAAGTTGCAGCTGTTATCCTGGCTAACAGGAAGCAGATGATGAAACAATGTTGCCACCAGCTGTGCCGAAACCTTCACTCTTTACACACCGTATTATAAACCTCTTGTTTTTTATAGCGCCTTGCAAAAGTGATAACATTACTTTATGTCTTTTTAAATTTTGTCACATTGGAGCCAAAAAGATTCCTTTTATGTATGTGCTAAGTTTTATTTAATTTCATGTGTATTTGACTGGAACAATGCAAACAAACATGGCGACAAAGCAAAGCAAGTCACTGATGTGCTGCATATATAGTTTAGAACTAAAGCTAATGTTCAACTCCTGTCCCTGGTTGGGATTTTATATAAAATAGAATTGAAATACTATACTACTTCGAATTCAGAAAATAAAAACATGATAACATTGTAAAACATACATTTTATACAGAACTTTTAGCTACTATAACAAAAAAAAAATTGTACAGTTTTGGGTTGTTTTTAACCACTTTTAAATCCCGAGAGTAAACATTTTAAAATAAGCTACAGTCTTTATGTCATATGTTAAAGTGAAAGAAAATGGTCATAAAGCTTTCAAATAAAAAATAAAAAAAATAAGTTAATTGTGACAAAAGTATGTCTTCAGTCTCGAAGATTTAATACTTTATATAACCAGATTATATAGAAATTACAGATTCTTTCATATGTTTCTACTAGCTTTAAACATCTAGATACTGTTAGGTATTTTTTAATCCCTTCTTCTTTGCAAAATCATAAAAAGCTTATTCAGATCTGATTTAGAGCATAAATCTTTAATTCATGCCACAGATTCCTAATTATTAATAGTCTGGATTTTGACCGAACAAATTTAATGTACAAAAATGCTTTGGCTGTGTAGACAGCTTCACCACCCAGATGGGAGGTGACCCTCTGCAGCAGTATTAAGCCTTTTGCATTTTCCATATATGTCTCCTTCCATCATCCCATCAGCTCTGACTGGCTTCTGTCCCTTCTGAAGCAAAGACAGCCCAAAGCATGACACCCCGCTGCCAGCATATAATCTCTGACTCCTCTGCTGCCTTCTTTTTGTCTTCCAAACACTCTTTTATCAACTATTCAAGTAATAGGTTTTCTTAATAAAATCTGAGCCGGTATATATCATTACCATTTCACTTCATATCATCAACTATTTTGTATGAACACGCTTGCTACACATTAAAAGTTTTGTTTAGGAGAATTTCTTGCCAAATGTTGGGCTTCTTCACGCTTTCATTCCACCAGCTTGCCTTTTGTTTTTCTGGAGGGATTCCCGTAGTGCAATGAGAGGTGGGTGGCAGTAACTGATACCTCCCCACGAACACACATCGGTACACAGGCGTTAAAGAGATTTTTTTTTTTCGCTCGTTGCAGGGCCCGTCTGCTAATGAAAGAAGCTAATGGACATGAGCCAATCTGCAGATCACCATGTGCAAGAAAAGACCAATATGATGACAAGAAGGAAGTATGTTCTTTTCTTCACAATGAGAAGCCCACTAACGAACTTACTGGTTCGAAATATGACTGTTTATGAGAGTAACATTCAGAAATGATGGCTGGTGTCACTCACGTAGCTCTGTAAAGATCAAAGCGCCCTTTTTCCTGAATGTGAAACATCAGATCGCCTCCATTCAGATACTCCATCACAAAGAACAGATGCTCCTAAGGGTAAGACTCAAATTTAGTACAAAGAGCATGCAGAGTAAAGCATTGCAAATGGTTTTAACTTGAGGAGAAGGAGTACTTTAGTCTGGAAGGTGCAGTAAACGTGGGTGAGGAAGGGGTTTTCCCAAGCTAAAGCTAGGACCCTTTTCTCCACCATAGTGCACTCGACATCATCATCCATCAGAACCACATCCTTCTTCAAAGCCTTTATAGCAAAGTACTCTCCACGGCCCTTCAGTTCGGCAAGGAGGACCTAAAAGAGAAACAAATAAATGGCTGCATATGTAAGAGTCTTCAATCTGTTATTCCACATTTCTCAACTACACATTGGGAAATTGATGAATGAAGATCGGAGGGTACCTTGCCAAAGCTGCCTTTTCCTAAAACCTTGTGGAAGACAAAGTTGTCAACATTGACACGAGTCAAGTGGGTGATACGAGACTGTGGTCTTTGGGTAGGTCCCTCCCACAGTCTGCCGTAAGGAGATCCATCTAATACATGAACAAATAATAAGATGCATCAGGTGACAAGTGTCGCAATAACTGCTTCAAAGTTCCACATTTTCTGGAGCAGTATGAAAAATATAAATAAAAATGGCAGAAGTCTGATTACTGACCATTGTTCTCAAGGACAGGTTGTTTGTTCACTTCATCATATATTCCAATATCAGCGAGACCAGGCAGGTTAGGATCTGAGCGACGGGTGGATTTCTGAAGAAATTATGGGATTAAAAAGAAGACAACTTTAGAAAAAAAAAGGTTAAAAATGCAGATGTGAAACATCCAGACTAAGAGGAAGATTAACTGAATGTTTAATTTTTAAAGTACTATAATGTTACTCAAACATAACGGGAACCTTTGAATAGAGGGTGAACAAAACTGGACTAATGCCTGATTTTAAAGTCTTTTTAAAACACTATGTGAAGCTCTGTAAATAATAGAAAAAACATAAAATTCCTAAACATATCTGGTCTATAAATGCATTAACCAGCATTAACACATATAATGAGTTCAAGGAAAGGTTGAGAAATTGATACCTTAGGTGTACAAACAGGGATGGGATTGTATTTCCTTCAGATTTGTAACAGTTTTTTTCTGATTCATGTATCCAAAGTTCTCAGAAATGTAGACTAATTGGTCAAATTTCAACTAATTAGGTCAGAGCCCAAAGAAAACCTGAAAAGTGGAGGATCACATTGTGGCCCTTTTCACACATCACTTTCCAGCAAAGTAGAAAATGAGCTAAAAGTGTGTTTTCTCTGTGTGTGAAAGAGACATAAAAGGGAGGAAGCGTGGACTGCACAACAAACAAGAAACTACAAACTTATATTTAAAATCAACAAACCGGGTTTTGTGTGAAAGAACACTGAGTGAAAGAAGAGCAACCAGAGTAGGTTGACACAGCTTCATGAGAACATTTTGTTCTTGCTTTGAGGAGTCAAAACCAATATATCAAAAAGGCTTTCTTTTTAATTTGATTTGAAAAATATTACTATTCCTAAAAAAGGTTCTGATTAGATTTTTATTATAATTATTTACTTTGTGCTTTTTAAATTAAAAGGATGAACATATAGGTAATTATAACTAATCAAATACTGACCTTTCCAGAACCAATTTATTTAGGTGAGTATTATTTATCATGTGTTGATTTTGATGTGATCACCGTCAAATAAGAAGAACCAATAGCTGATTTAGAACCAACTCACCTGACTGACTTGTGTTAATGCTTCAGCTAACAGCTTCTGATTGATCCCACAGAGGTTGGCCACTTTGTCCTGACACTTATGATGAACATTCATGGCACAGTCTGAAAGCAAAATCAAAGGAGGCATTTTAAACACAACAGCACACTAACATACTACTATCAGCTGAATCAGATCAGTGCTTTACCTTCACACTTCAGGCCCTGTTTGACCAGACCCCAAAGCAGGCTCCCACAGTGGTCGCAGAAAGTGGGGCTCATGTAGTTGTTGATCTTGAAACGGTGGGGCATGTCGATCTTAAACCGCTCCTTTTGGAACTGTTGGTTAAACAAGGATTTCTCTAATGAGTTGTAATAATCTTATCCTCTATGAGCACAGAAATACTGAAATTATCACAAAGACAGTGTTTTTTGGACCATGAAGAAGACAGTTGAACTGCAGGCTATCTAACAGACAGTCAGTGAAGACATTCAGAAATGCCACTAAAGATCATCAGAAGAAGGGTCAACCACTAAAGATCATAGCCAAAGTAGCCGGATGTTTACAGAGGGTTTAGACATACCATTTTAATTGAAGTGGAAGGAAAACCTGTGATTTAAAAAGGTGCATGCCAGCTGGGATAACTGCAGCATTTAGGATTGTGAATCTAAGCTCATTTAAGAGTTTCTGCAAGATTCAAGTCTAGACTGTGCCTGGTTCATCTCAGGAAGGTGAAGCAGCATTGGAGGTATCTTTAAAAGCTGAAATGTGTTTGGACTGTTTTGATCCAGTTTTCTAAACAGACTTCAGAGTTGGCAAAGTTATCTTCATCTAAACGTTCAACTTGTATATTTGATCCAGTTTCAACTAAGCTATTTAATAAAGTATGCCTTCTGATTTTCATCTCCATTTTAGATACAACTGATTTACTAGTAATATTAGCCATCTTAAGCACAACTTGTTTTGGTTGAGTCTGATTCTTTAATCTCCAATTAATTTTTTTTCCATGTCACACTGACTGCAGTTCAAATAGACAGGCTCCTGCTACACAAGGTGAGCAGATCCCAATCTCTACAGATTTCTTTCACTTCCATTTTTGTTTCCCACGTGTTACTGGTGCTGGTACTGGTGAGGTATTAAGAGGTGATTCTCACAAAGCAAAGTAAAGTTTTTGTTTTTTTTAAAGAGGGGAGAGGAACAAGCTGCGGTTTCCTGCACTACCTCTCAATATATTGCATTATGTGAGGCTCAAAGAGGATCATTATTTTTACCTTGTTCATTTTCTGTCCTTCTGAAATCCCATCATGGGTAAAGTATTCTGTTTTTTAAAATGTTTTTTTGATTGTTTATTCCCGATGTGAGATTCCAAACCAGGAATCTTGCGATTGATCTATTTTATATTATATTTCCCCCAAAATGGATGTGTTTTTTTTGCAAAGGTAACTCTCTTCCAGTCAGACTCATGAAATTGCTGAATTGCTGAATAGCCTATGGCTATCTCAGGCTACACAAGCCCACTTGCAGAATTGTGTTTATTCCGATAGAATGTACACACCAGATGGAAAATCTTATTTGATATGTACTATATCTAATCTGTATTATATCTAATCTTGCTTTATTTTCCAAAATTCTTGCAGAAAGCTGTTAAACAAATGAGTGTCATTACACTGTAATGGTAATAATCCTTTTGAAGAGTTTCAGTAAAGTTTTAGCGTTCATCATAGCAAGGAAACAGCATGGTGAAAGTCACCAATAATATTCTCATTGGCTCAGATAATGGACTTGTATCTATACTTGTCCTGTTAGAACACAGAGCTGCATTTGATACAGTAAATCACAATAATCTTTTAGGAAGGCTTGAACATTCAGTAGGAATTAAGAGAACAGTGCTAGGCTGGTTTAAATCTTATTTGTCTGACAGATTACAGTTTGTTTGTGTTAATGTAATATTTCCTCATACTCTATGGTGACTTGTGGGGTACCACAGGGTTCAGTGCCAGAGCCAATTTTCTTCACTATATATATATATGCTCAAAGTTAGTAGAATAATTAGAATCATGAGCTGATGATACTCAGCTATGTTTGTCCATAAATCCTTTCAATTAATTTTTTGCTTTTGAATTAAGACAAAACAGAGGTTAATGTCTTTCGACCCGATTCTTAAAAAAGAAGCTAATTAGTCAGTCGCTTCATCTGGAACAGGATTAAGCTGGTCTCAGATAATAATGTAAAAATTCTTGGTTAATTTTTGGATCAGGAAATTTAGATCCTATATTAAACACGTTTGCAATTTTTTTTTCATTCATCTCTGAAATATATAATGCAAAAATCAGAGGTATCACATTCAGGGGTGAAGCTCAGAAACTAGTTCATGGATTAGTTACTTCAAGGCTGGACTATTTTAATTCTTTGCTTTCAGGAAGTCCCAAAAAAGTGGTTAAAAGCCTTCAGCTGATCCAAAATGCTGCAGCAAGACTTCTGCAGAAAACTAAAAAAAGGAGATTATACTTGTTCTATTTTAGCTTCCCTTTACTGATTTCCTGTTAAATCGAAAATAGAATTGAAAATCCTCCTTCTGAGATATAAAGCCCTAAATAACAAAGCTTTGATAGTTCCATATGTCCCAAATGGAGCCCTTCACTCTCAATCTGCAGTTTTTCTACTGGTTCCTAGAATTTATACAGGTAGAATGAGTGGCAAATATTTTAGTTATCAGGCTAATCTCCTGTGCAAACAACTACCCCTGTTAGTCTGTGAGGCAGACACCCTGTTTAATTTTAAGCTTAACACTTTTCTTTTTGACAAAGCTTATAGTTGCAGTGACTCCGGTTATCCTTAGGTTTTTCTGTAGTGACGCTGCTATAGGCTTATGCTGCTGAAAGATATAGGGAGCACTTTTCCTCCTTCTGCTTCATTCAGTATCTATTTTCCAATTCTGCAGTATTTGTTAGTTTAAATTCTGACTTCATGTTCTGTCTGCTTTTTCTTCTCATAGTAGCTTTGTCTGATCTGGTTCTATTTGGCTGTTACATCTTCTGGGAAATAAAAGCTAGGCTGCTGCAATCAACACCTCCAATTAAAGATAAAAGAGTTGGGTATGTTTTTCTATTCAAGACATAGCTATGGGCTCAGCTTTTACTGTGACTAACTGGATGTGCATCTGTTTTGACATAGAAACTGGCCCTTTTTAGACAGGGCCACCTATGGAGCTAGTTTACTGTTACCTTTTCTTTATAGAAAACATTTATTGATTAGTGCTTCTTTGTTCTTTTCATATGTCTGCTTCTGTCACCCCAGTGAGCCTCAGCAGAAGGCCGCTCACACAGAGCCCCATTCTGGGAAAGGTTTCTTCTCGTTAAAAGAGAGTTTTTCCTCTCTACTTTCAAAGCACGCATGCTTGGTGTGAAGGGTTGCAGAGTGAATTACTTGATTACTATTTATAAGTTGTTGTTTTTTTTTTATAAAAACATTTAACCAGTCTGACTGTATGATCTGATTGAAATGTCTACATAAAAGACCTTGAGTTGACATGTGTTGTGACTTGGTGCTATAAATAAACTGAATCAAATTAATTGAGTCAGAACTTGAATCACATTCCTTGGGTTACAACACCAATGGACGAGAGATATCCAATCGAGAATTAACGAGACAAAGGTCTGAACTCTTGCTAAGAAGTCTAACGTCATTTTCCCAGAGGAAAGGAAATTTTAAATTAAGGACCAAAAGTATGTTAGAAGTCCCTAGGGAGGTTTCCACAGGAAGGGGTGATTTGGGGAGCTATCCTCTAACCCCCATCTGTTTGTTCAATATACTGGTGAAGGTTCTCAGTCATCCAGGTCATAGTCGTTCCAAAAAAATAAAAAACAATCCACTGGACTTGGTTTCCGAGTTTAAAGACATTTCACCTCCCATCCAGGAAGCTTTTTCATTTCAAAATGTCAGGAATAGCGTCGAGTTTCAAATGCCATTGTTGGGCTACTGTATACAACCTCGATTTCAAGCTATTCCTGACATTTTGAATTGAAAAAGCTTCCTGGATGGGAAGCGAAACATCTTAAACAGTAGATTGTTTTTTAAAAGTTTTTTTGGAATTTGTTCAATATACGTTCTAGTGAACATAGCTTTACTGTGTTTGAACAGCTTACAAACTGGCCTAAACCTAAACTCTATGTAATCAAGATGAAAATCCGATCCAGGGATGTAATAATCTGAACACCTCTGTTAATATAATCTTAAACGCATATATATACACTGCATGATGAAATTTGAATTTGAGACTTTTAAGTTGCACTCTTACAAACCTTAGGTGTTTTTTTTTTTTATTAAAGTACATGTTCACAAAAATACCTAAAAAGAATTGGATCCAACCAAATCAAACTGATAGATTGCAGTTTATTTTTATACTTTAAATGTATCCTGTATTTTGAGCATTTTGTGTCAGCTCTCTCGTAATGCATATAAAGATGTACCAAATGGTCCCGCATTAGATAAAGAGCTCTCAGATCATTAGTGCTGATTGAAAGATCTTAATTGGTCCTAATAGACCTCCTGGTGCATTAAGACCAAAACAAGCATCATGATTAAACAGAAGATAAAAAAAATGAAAAGAAAGACCACATGGAGCTGGAGAATACAGCAAATGGAGAACACTTGCTGTAGAAAAAGCATGTCACATACCACGGTATCCCGACTGTTAGCTGCAGTACCAGTGCATCTGCCAATGATCTTGTCGATGCACTTCTTATGGATTGCTGCATTGCATTCTGTAAAAAGAAAACAATTTTACAGAGAATTTTACTTTTTTAGGTGTCCAAAATGATAGAGAAAATGTTTCATCTGGGATCAGGTACACATAACAAAATTTACCATTAAAAGATCCCATTTCAGTTATAGCCACCGGCATGGATATTTTGTCTCTTTCTAAAATGGTAATATTACCGTAAACTTACGTCTGCATTTGTAGCCTTGTTTGTTGAGTCCCCTGTGGAAGAAAACAAGATTGAAATGGATCCATTTCCATGATTTCTTAGAGAAGTAAGGATTCAATGATCCCAATTTCAACATCAATTTAGCTCATGAGTTAGTTTCTATATCAAGGGAAATGGACTTCTAAGTAAAATCATTTCCTGCATAAAAACACTTTAAAATCACTGAGTAATAAATGGAGACTGGATGTGGAACAATTTATGAGAAACTAAAGGGTTGCTAGACACAAAATCCATTTGTGTAATTTAGATTTTTGGACTTCGTTGTATGTTTGATACACAAAATAAGTTTTAAATTATTCAACAAGTGTAAAAGCCAGAAATAGATAGGCTTATTAAGAACCTATTTGTCCAAAATGCTTTCCAACAAAAAAACATGCATGTAATACTTCATTTCAGTATGTCCCCCACATAATTGCTTCGTAATTACCATCAGTGATGTTTCAGTTCATCCGAGTCTAAGCTGTTTTTTGTTTTTTTTTAAATACTGACATGTTAACTGGACTTACCACACAAATTCTCTGCACACGGAGCAGAAAGTGGGCTGTCTGAAGAACGTAGCGATGAACTCATGGTTCTTTATGAAGTGGATCTTCGCTTGCTTAATGGCCCCTCGTCTACGGTTCAGTGTAGGAGCCTCTTCCTCCTTGACAGCATGCTTACTTTCTTTAACACACAGAAAAACGCCATTCAGTCATTGTACAAGTGTTACCCATACAAGAGAGACAGAGAACAAACAGACAGTCTTATAGAGCATTACACTGTAGCTCATGCTAAAGTATGCAGCAAACAGACAAACATTTTGTAGAATCACTGCTTCCTTTGCTCAATAAAGAATACGCATTGATCAATGCAAAATAGTTGAAACTCAAATTAAAGGTAGAGCATCTGAAAACAGTCTTTGATCTCAATTTCTATGTCTTGCTGTGTCTTTTGGGTTGTGGTCCTGCTGAGAAATGGGCCTCTGTCCCAGTCTCCAGTCTTTTGCAGGCTCTAACAGGTTTGGCCTGTATTTAGCTTCATCCATTTTCTAATCACCTCTGATCTGCATCCATTTCCCTGCTGGGGATAAGCACCCATGCAACATAACCCTGCTACCACTATGCTTTTCCATGGAGAAAGAATGTCCAGGATTATTTGAAATGCTGTTTATCCGCTTTGTATGTTGTTATATGTTTGGTTTAGTCATCTGACCAAAGCACTCGTTTATGGTGTCTCCTACAAGTGATAAATTGCATTTTTTCATTAGGACAGATTTGTGGAGTTTTTAACTGTTCTATTAGTTCTGTCCTGGGAAGAGATGCTTCCATCTGAGCTACCCAATGGGCCTCTGGCCTCCTATCTGGCCTGTTGGTTTAGATACGAGGCCATGTCTTCATATGTTTTGGTTATGTTATAAATTAGTGTATTTTTATCGTAAAAAACTAGAAAATGTAATTTCTAGAACTATATCCCTGACCTGTCTGTTCTGTTCCATGGTCTTTATGCACAATGACAAATCCTTCAAACATCTGTAATCACAGAGATTACATTACAGATAGGTAGGCTGTTTTATTTTAATGAGTTGCACTGAATTTTTACATGTTTCAGATTAACTATTTCCCTTCATGGAGTAAGTTGTTAGTCCATCACATAAAATCTAAGCAGAATACGTTCAAGTTTGTGTCTTTGACATGCCAAACGTAAAAGGTTGAAGGCATGTGAACACTTTGTAAGGTACTGTAACTTCTTATTCAATTCTCTTCACCTGTATCCACATCCTCTAAAAAATATTGCACTGCCATCATCACCTTCCCTGAAGGATGGAGATCCACCTGAACACAAAGCAATAAAACAGGTAAATAGATTAACAATCCCTAACACGTTTCTCCAAAGGAGGGATGGGGAGCTTTTATGTCCTACCCAGAATTCGGCACGCCCGTTGGCTTTCTTGCAGCGCTCAGCCAGAACAGAGACACCGACAGTGACCTCTGCAAGTGGCTCCTCCGCTGTCTTCATAAGCAATATCTCGAGCACACGGCCCTCGTAGATATGTGCATCAAAGCTGGCTTTCCAAGCCGGGTACATGGTAGGCTTTCTCTGAACCAATGTTTTACCTCGTTCTAAGCGGGGGAGGGAAACAAGTGCAATGGAAACAATGTAAGATTCAGTCTTGTTAAATACAGGAAATAAGAAAACCTAAAAGAAAAGGCACTTTGTGTAAGAAAAAAAACAAACAATGCAAAGGTTATCTTACCTGTAGTCAAAGCTTCCTTCAACTTGATTGCACAGAAGGGCTGGTCAGTTGAAGGTGGCAATATGCCCATATCAAATGAGTTAAAGGCGATCCTCAGGAAAGGAGCCATGGTGATGAGTGCCAGAGGAACCTTTCACAGACAGTTACACATACTTATTGAGGTGGCCTTTATCATTCAGACAGTTTGAGCAATTGCCTAGAATCTTTATAGTAGTTAATACACAATGCCATTTAGAATCACACACAACAAATAGCTTCCACTGATGATGTTGCTTTTGTAACTGCTGGAAAAACAGATTTTCTGCACTGCTATTATCCCTGCTAGGGTTGTAACAATATTAAAATTCCAAAGTCGACGTGATATCCAGGAAAATATTCAATACTTTTTTCCACCTTTCATACTATGTGGATAAAAAATGGCAAGTAATTAAAGGCATAAAGTTAAATGAGCATGCAAATACAAGCAATATAAATGATCAAAATATAACAAAAAGATTGACAATATTTCAAAGTGGAGATAACACAATATTGACATTTTCTAGTATTTTTTGTAGACCAAAACATTATTAACGATGGTCAATGTAATCATTTCAAGGGAACCCAGATTAGGTAGCTATTAAAAAGACGCCGGCATTGATATGACTCTAGCGCCGCTTGGTTACTGAAGGAGAAAGCGGAAGTGAGGTATACCGAAGAACGAGTTGGAAAAGTGGTTTTGTTACGGACATTTGTTGAAGTTTTTATTGATTAAGATACAGCTATGCCTTTGCATTGTGTCTCAGAGTTTTGCTTCAGCCCCTATAAGGACGTTGCTGGCTTATTTAAGTTTCTTAAGGATCCTGGGCTGCTTTCAAAGTCAGTGAAGCAGGTCATATGAGATCTAAAGAAATTGGAGCACTCCATGACATTTCTTCTATGCTTGGAACATTTTTAGAAGGACGTTTTTGTTTATTTTGTTGCCTCATTGAAAGATTCTCTTGGTTGTTCCAGGAAACAATAAAGTGTGCTGCTGCCAACAGCCTTACCTACAACGTAATATTAATAATTAAATTAATATCATATCAGGAAACAGAGTTTAAGTATCAATATTTTTCAGGGTGTGGATACTTTTAACGACCCTCATTCCTGTTATACAAAAAATTATTCCTTTTTTAAACTGATGCTGAAATGTAATGTGTCTTAGCATTAAGACTGCATTTTCCCCAATTTCTGTTAATTTGTGCCTGTGTGGCTTCAGTCATTGTCATCCAAAGCAAATATTCAGGGTTTGTTTGAATTGTACCCCTCTGATGGCATTTTAAATTATTAAAATATTTTAAGAAAATACAAAAAAGAAAAGAAAATTCTCTGCCCATTTACGCCAATATGGCAGTATTAAACCACTGAATATTTCAAGTAATTTCCTCTTTATATGAAAACCATTACCAAGTACATAAAAAAGTCTCTCTATAAAGTAGAAAAACAGATTTCTGGGTTCAATTCCCAGCCCAGGGTCTTTCTGCATAGAGTTTGCATGTTCTCCCTGAGCATGTGTGGGTTCTCTCCGGGTACTCCAGCTTCCGCCCACAGTCCAAAAACGTACCTGTTAGGTTAATTGGCTTCTCCACAGGACACCCTTAGGTGTGAGTGTGAGCGTGACTACTGGAGATAGGCACCTGCACCCCTCGCGACCCCACTTGGGATAAGCGTGCTAGAAAATTGATGGATGGTATAGGCTACCATAATAATTAGGGATGCACGATATTGGGATTTTGGCCGATATCCGATATGCCGATATTTTAAAACTCATGTAGCCGATAACCGATATCGATACTGATGTTAAAGCTGGACAAAAATAAGTAGTCACTGAAAATAGCAGTTTTGTTATCCATTTCTGACACTTTGAAAAATAATATACTCAAATATATTTTCATATGCTGATCTCAAATAGATTTTTAAAAACGCGGTATCGATCTATTTTACTTTCAAAATCTCGTGAAATTTCATCTTTCTGTTAAACTCTCGTGATATTTTGCAAATTCTTGTGAGATTTTGTTAGTAAAATAGATCGATACCGCGTCAAAATATCAACATATAAAAATATGGCAAAATTTTGTGAATTTTCGGGGGATTTCATAGCATAACGATGACATATAGCAATATTTCATTAGTAAAAGAGATTGATATGGTGTTTTTAAATGGCAATATATCAGCACATGAAGATATTGTGATATTTTAATGTATCAATATTTTTTCCCTCATCTTTAGAAGTTTTTAAGTCTGTAAAAAAGAAGTTTTTGAGGAGAAAGAAGAAGTAGTATTTTTATTTTTTTTTAGACTTTAGAAACTCAGAAGCTGATCAAATATCGGGTTAAATATCGGTGGGGTGGCCGATGTCCGATATCCAGTTTTAAGGCCGATACCGATAGGGGGCCAATTATATCGTGCATCCCTAATAATAATGTTAAAATTATTAAGAAATTGGCTGTATAAAAGTTCATATTTTTATTATTTTTTATGTAGGTTTAGAAAAAAATACCAGATTATGCAGATGGGGTAATAATATCACAGACGAAACAATTTTTTTTCTGATCTGTGTGCTACTGACTGAGCAGATACGGCACCAGGAGAGAGTAAGCTGGTCTGGAGCGGACTAGCTGTAGAGAATAAACCATCTAGTGCTAGCTAATGTGTTACTGCTTTTATTCGACCGGTTTGTGGCTTAATTAGGGTAGCTGGAAAATCATGACTTTATATCTTATCTTCGATTTTATATAACAGGCCTCAAGATGCCAATTCCACCAACACCATCAAAGCCAAGCAAAACTATCTTAAAGCTCACACATAAAACATATTATTAACTGCATATAAAACACCTGCAGCTTCACTCAACAATAAAAGAGTGCTGCGTCAGCAGGGCGGGACTGAGGGCTTTTTGATGAATCAGAGTGAAACCTTCACAAAAAAAATCCCTGAATGAAAACATCACACAGAAAAGCAGGCGGATAATATTTCACATGCGTTTAAAAACAAAGTTGTGTTTGGATGAGAAAACAATACACAGTCAAAAAAATCAGCCTGTATGAAGAGCAGCACAACTTGCATGGTTCATTTGCTGCTGGAATTAACCTATACCTTCTAATCAGAGATTAAAATTAAATTGTTTCCCAATGCTATAAGCTAGCTTGGAATTCCCAAGTTGGTTTGCATAAGCATTTTTAAAATTTTACACATAACAAATTAATCAGCACCGCTCCTGTTTATTGTTTTTCACATTGCTTTTAGTTTACAGTTTCAGCAGCGAAGGCGTGTGCCTTCACTACAAAGGCAGTGCAAGTTTTAACATGTTGCTATTCTAAACCCAGGCTTGCATTGCTCCACATTCAGCCCGGAATGGTATTCAGAACACCCCCACCCCCCCCATGAGACTGGAAAATAAAAAGAACCAAAACACATCAAATCAAAAGAAGAGTGGTACACCAGGAAGAAAGCGTGATGAAAAGCAACTCCACTCCCTCCTGTTGTTGGCAGTGATGTCATTGGATTTTTCAGAGTTAATCAATAATAAGCACACTGTGTGACTGAGGGCAGTAGTGATTGACTGCTTTCTGTGCCGTTTCGATTTGTCCCATCTGTTAAGTTCACGGCTCCTTTTGCACAAAGCAGCGTACAGTAATCTGTAACATTTTAGGTTTTAATCCAAACTATTTGTGTATGCTTAAATTATGAGCAGAAATCCCTGTACACTGTTACCACAGTTGACACATAGCAGCTCTAAAACTCTGACTCTAAGCCTAAAGGTTGTATAATTCTACATAGAAAATGAAAATACCTGCATTTCTATGGGTTTTAAACTTTTACTTCAGCTAAAAATGAACAAGTAACTAAAATACAGGGTGTGGTCAAACCTAAAGGGATAGATTAGAAAATATTTTGTAAAATTATGATTATAAGCAGCATACATCTCACTGCTCTAACTCTTCTTGTTTATACAATTTGCAGCCAGAAACGAAGCGGAAGTATAATCTTAAACTAACTGCAAACTCAATTAATTTTAAGGGATTCATATGCAAATGTAACGAATATTTCAATGAACATTATGATTATGTAAGTCGTTAGGTTCCTGTTAGACGCTCTTACCAGAATCTGATGATTTGTGCAATGTTTTGGGGGTTTTTTTCATAGGAACTATGATATTTGTCCAGGAAACACATAATGAGAATGGAACTTATCCAACATAAGAATATCTCAGTGTGCCAAAAAAAAAAAAGAAAATAGTTAAAACTGTTCTATTTTTGTTTAACATGCTGCTTTTCTTTTCCGTTTAAAAATAAATCTGATTTCAACGCATAAATGTTAATGCGCATTTATTACAGGTCAATCATTGCTGGAACCTGGAAGAACCAGGTAGTACTATTGGACCTAGGGCAGCATTCTACACTGTTGGATCCCTTTATTTTATTAGAGCACCAGGAAAACTGGGTCGTCCTTGACCAGCTCTTCTCTGTATCTCAAAGAACAGACTTTGAATTACTTCTGCTAGTCCATAAATCATTGAATGGCCCCGCACCAAAATACATTAAAGACTTGCTGTGTTTGGATCAACTATCCAGACCTCTCAGGTCTTCTGACTAAAGTCTGCTAAGCATACCCAGAACCAGAACCAAACATGCAGCAACAGCTTTTAGTTCTTATGCTCCACTAATCTGCGATAAAGTCCAAGAACACTGAAGAAGCTCTAAAATCCTAAATTTTAAATTAAGATTTACATTTTTTTTTTTTTTGCATGAGGTTTGATTTATTTAAGTTTGGAGTGCAACTTCCCTTTTTATTTTCCATCAACCATTTTAGCTCTTTGTTAATATAATATTCTAATGTTCATTATTCCTTTTATGCTTGTTATTTATTTGTGTTACCTTTATGCCATTGCAATGTGCTTTTTATTTAATTTGTCCCATCTAAGGCTCTTTGAATTGTCTTGCTTTTGAAATGTGCTTCATAAATAAACTTAACTTGCCACGTAGTATCACTTTTTCCATGGACATGGTGATCAGCTTCCTAATGATAATTATCTCATTGATTAATGTTTTAAGTACTTGTTTTCACATTAACCAGCATGATCTTTTTACAAATTTCCTCTGGCATCCACTCTGGTCTTAGGTCCTCATATGGTTTTACAGTTAACCTTAGGAGCAACTAATCTGGACTGAGACCAAATGAGAACACTAAGGAAACTAATTTAATGCTGGTGGGACACTAGAAGTGATAACTAGGCATGTACCAGCTACTAGTATCTAGTTCTGATATGACTTTAAACCGATAGAAGTTTTATGTAATTCCATACCAACCGTTTGAGGTCCTAATGAAATGCTAGATAATCAGTGTGCCTCTAACCATGCACTGCCTGCCAGCTGGCTGAAATAGGGTAAGTAATTTTTACCTCCCCTACACATACAACTAATTTGAGTTTTTGAAGAAATACCGATGCTGAAAATCAACTAAAGTCATTAAACATAAAATAAAGAAGCACCACTCATGTATTATTCAAGGTATCACTTTTAAAAAATAAAGCAGCCAAATGTCTGTAAGGTACCAGAGCTGATAACATGACCAACTAACCAGCTCATTTTACAACAATAAATTGCAAAGACAGCACAATAAACAAGTTTGCATAAAACAGTTACAAAATTTTGCATCAAAAATATTTGCTCGAGTCTGTGTATCAGAATTTTAATACTAATTAAACAATATAATTATGTTATTATAAATAACAACATTACCTATTACATTTATGTATTTATTTATTTTTATTTAACCTTTATATTACCAGGAAGTCCCTTGAGAGAAAATCTCTTTTTCGAGGGAGACCTGGCCAAGAGGCAGCAGTACAGTAAGACATAAGAAAACAGGACAACATAATAAAATCATTCATAAACTAGACTCTAGAATACCAGTTACAATTCTCTGTGCAAGCGGTTTTCAATAGTGATTTAAAATGCTGTAGTGGAATAAGAGTCCGTAATTGCAGAGAGTTTTGAATATTGTGCCACGACCATGGTGCTACATAGTATATATAATATAATTTAGAGGTCGCAAAGGTATTTTTTTAATAAAAAATAAATAATTTGGCAGACCGCCATGTTGAGCCTGGTTCTGCCAGAGGTTTCTTCCCAACAGGGAGTTTTTCCTCTCCACTGTCGCTTCATGCTTGCTCATCATGGACAAGTTCTCTCAACCTGTGTTATCCAACTGGACTTCCATCTTCCGGGTCCCTGAGTGAAGCTCTAGTATCAGCTCACGCAATCCACTGGATCTCCCCATGAAGCTCAGCAGACCGTCCCGCTAACCAGCAGTCTACAGACTGACCAACTTCATCTATCTCCACTCCACCACCAGTTTCAGGCCAGGGGGGAAACAGCCCTATTCTTTGCTCCTGTTCATGCATATCTATCAAAATTAAGCGCTATGTTTCCTGCCTAAGTCTTGTATCAATACATTTCTCCTAATTGTCTTTTCTCTTAGTGTGAGTTTTTCAGATTGCAATATGCTTAAATTCACATTTTTGCATAAATCTCATTTCAATTTGATTAAATTGTATTTTGATGCAACTTTTCTATACTCTGAGAATTTCTTTAGCTAAAATACCTTATACCTTACCTTACCTCTAACAGAAATCCTGAGCTGTCCCTTCAGATGACAGAAGCTGAACAACAATACATGGTTTAGTTTAAACTAGAACCTCTTATTCTGAGTGACTCAGCCATCAAATTACAGCAATAATAGATGACAGAAACGGCAGGTCCAGACACCTATAAATTATCAATTAAATCTCGATCATGATCACCTAAAGTAAACTGCCAATCATTTCAGCTTGTGCATCTGATTCTCTGTTTATGCAACAGCGGATGTGGTCGCTTGTCAGTTGACTGACACGGATTCAAACATCATCACCCTGCAGCCAGTGTCTTTATGACAGGTCTTTTTTTTTTTTTTTGTCTTTTAGGTTCTGCACCCCGTCCATGTTGTCATCCCGAACTTCCGTATGCCATGTTGTATGCCCTTCATCTTCCATCTCAAATGTAGAGTTTATCCTATTGTAAACAGTTTGGATGACTGCCTCACCTGTCGATATTGATATTGTTCCGTGATCGACCCCGCAGCGTCATCGCTCAGTCTGACACATCCCCGAACCCGTCCCGATAATTTAGTTTACAAAAATCAAACGACAAAGGCGACAGAGAACTCTTCCAATTAAAAAGTTAATGCTGGATAATCCCTTTATTATAGTTCGTTTGTTTCTATATAAGTCTCAAATTGCAGCGTTTTATTTAAAGAGACCTGACAGAAAATTTACTTTTTAGAAAATAACTCCAGCGCCTGCCCTAAGTCAACGATTACAGTTTGTTCCTCAACAGATGAAAGACGCAGAAGGAGACATACAGCTACCTTTATGTGCGCTCTTTGAACCAGTTTTCTATCAAAACGAAACCCCAAAAGGCTCGAACTTTGATAAAGTAAGATTAAAATCCAGTATAACAGCAAGCTCACCTCGTACTGCAAAGTCAGCTGCGCCTCTTCTTCACCACAGCTTCATGAAAGTTACTCTTTTCTTCCTCTCGGTTTTTCGCTCTGTGATTCTGTGTTGAGGAAGTGTGGCACCTGTATGGCAGGCCGAATTACCATATCATCTAGCCCCTAACTTTTTAAAAGTATGCTCCAAATCAATAAAGCTCTTCTCCAGAGCCATATTTCATGTTGGTTTTTTTAACAGTTGCAAGATGTTACATTTCCCAAAAGGTTTCAAATTTTATCTTATGAGCCCACATTATATTTTACTATGGGTCTGGAAATACCAAAATGTTTTCGGGAATTGTGAGATGATCCTTTGAGTTCTTTATTTTGTTATTTTTACGCTATCCTCTGAATTTTATTTTTATCAAAATTCTGCTGATCAAAATGCTTCTCAGATCCAGCGAAAACTGGAAGATGAATGCTCTTTTTTTGCTTAAACCCACAGATTAATCAGCTGTTTTCTGTGTTTATAACATCACAACTATTTCAGTACATAGTTGTTGCAGGTTTGTTCCTTCTTCCTGAGGTGAACTGGGGTTGTGTAAGAATGTTCTTAGTTGATCAGAAGTTATACATTAGGATAGTTTAAGGGACAAAATATGTAAACCTGGGTAAAACTGAGTGAGCATGATCTCTTTTCAAGTCTGAAGCTTTCAAAAAGCATTTTGGTTCAGAAAGTGTTTCTATCTATAGTCATTAAAATGACTATAGATGTATTCTAATGATTATTCTCAACAATGTATTATAAACTAGGACCAGAGCTTGGATAACTGCATATGAAGTTTAATCTGCTTTGAAATACTAAAAAAATACAAAAAAAAAAATATGAAATCAAATAAATTACCTATAAATTTATTCTAAAATACTTCTTTGGACTTAATATTGGTGGATTCTGTGGTCTTTATTAATTGCCAGTCAAAAACATACCTTTTTAAATCAAATTTTCTGTTCATATTCATTGGTGTATAAATATACAGATATACTGATTTTAAAGTAGGCCTGCTTTTACCAGGATAGATTGATGTCTGAGATATTTAAAATGTTCATCTCAATTACGACTAATTGCATTCAGAATAGCTGTAGTGTCAAATTTCACATGGAGCAGTTCAAATGAATACGTAACCCTCACCCTCAATTGTATGATTAAACAGCTTGCCATAAGGCGCTCCTCTTTGTAAGCCGTGACGTTTACCTGCAATGCAAACACTGTATCTGTAGCCTCTCTGTTCAGAGACTGAGTGGAAAACGCACAGTTATAATATCTGGTTTAATTCAAAGTTATAAGGAGACATTTTTTTGGGGAGGGGGGGGGCGTTGTTTCATTTGCTCTGCAGCCCCATTAAAACAACACAAACTAACATTTCTTAGTCTTGTATGTAGTTTTCTTTATATCACCCCCTGGGTGGTGGTGTGGATTCATCACTGCAGACCTGTTGCTCACCTGGTTGGAAGCGAAACAACTGTCTTGGCAGCTTTAACTTCACATCTGCATTGCTGGTGAATTTGCTGCCCTAGATTACATTCTGGCATGTGGGGGAAGTTAGTTTTTGTGTGGCAGGAGGTGGAGTCACGTGGGTGCCACTGAAGTCTGCAGGGGTAGTTATGAGGTTGGAGCAACAAGATCTTGTGGGCTGACCGGCGCTAAGTGGAGGTGACAGATTTGCCTCTTGTATTATTATTTCAGCTTTCTTTAGACATATGCACGCCAAATGATCCAAATTCCTTTCTGATCCTTTCTGCATGCGTCCACCTCCTCTCTCAATAACACACACATACAAAAGGCAAAGAAATAAGGGTGATTTATGCCAAGTGAGCTATTCTGATCTAATTACACTAAAGAAATACATTTTGAAGCCAAAAGAGCCTTAAATAAGGAATGACAAATTTCCTGGGGATGACTCACAATCAAAGCTACATTTTTACACTGGCTTGTATTTGCTGCTGGATATAAATGTAAAACTGAACCTGGTATGGAGAGACTTGCAAGACACAGGTGTGCCAGGTCTTACCTTTCCCAACTGAACTTACATAAGAGGCCATTCCTGACTCATGGCAGACAGGAAGTCTGCAGCACAGTGAAGTCAAGGTGTGTATGTGTGTTGGAAACTAGCTCTGACAGACCCGCCTTGAAAACTCAAGAAACCATGCTGGATCTGTTCCTGCTGTAGAACACACACCCACACACATATCCTCACATAGCCAATGCTATCACACACCATGGGATGCATGTTAAACCTTGTGCGCAGAAATTGGAAAGCGCCTGCAGAGCCTCACAGAAATTCCATCAGCATAGAGATGATACATTTGAAATTGTATCACCTGAGAGTTTTTTTAACATTACATATAATTTTCATCTTGCAGGGAGTGTGATTTTAAAAAATACATACATATTTTATAATGTAAGTTTGTAGAGGGGATTTCCCCAAATTTTATACACATTCACATCTAAATGTTTGAGGAATTTTAAATGATCTGGGATTTGGGGATTTTGAAATTGGAACATGTTCTATTTCAGGAGCAAGAGCTTAAATGCTTGCTGTGATCCGAGATGCAGACAGATTTCCATACCAAGGGTAAACCGAAAAAATTAGGCCAACAAAAATTATTTGATTCGTTTTTGAGATCTACTATATTATAATTTTAAGCGCGCTTAAATATGCGGTTAATTTGGAGGTAAAATTAGAGTCAGCTGTCCAGTCAATAAGATGAGTGATGAGGGGTGTGTGGGCGCACAGTTTTATTTTAAGCTCCCCATGACACGTTTGTGGGAGTGAATCACAGTTTGAATGAAAGAGATTTCTCATACCCTTAAAAGGATTGTTTCTCCTTGGTGAGAAAAACAGGCTTAAATATGTTGAAATTATTTGGGCTCTGCTAATGAACATTCAGCGAGGTGATGCCTGAATGGTGGAAATCAGCAGGACTGCAAGTTTTCGCTGTATTTGACAACAAAGATTCCCTGCACTCTCAGGTCTGCAGGCTGCAGAAAGTTAATAACAGGAGCTTTCAATAACAGTAGAGCTTGTGTTGTGTTAAGCTGGTGGTTATGTTCATAAATCCAGGAACAGAGGAATGCTGAAATACAACAATCAGCATTACAGGGCTGCAAGGAAAAAAAACATTAGTTACCAAAATGAGCGTTGTATCCCAGCAGGAGTTTGATAAAGAATCACTAACAAACTAAAAGGTTGTGTACAGGGAAAAAAACAACTTTTATATTTTAAACAGAAATTGTTTAGATAAAGCAGATGTATGAATTTTAGATTTAGAATAAGCAAACAAAGAACAACCTCAAGATCAGTTAGTCTACATCATGCTGTCAGACAGGTGCTATTTAAATAGAGCCTAAATAGAGAGACTCACACAGAGAAAAGCTACAGTTAGAAAAGTATTATTCAATTTATTCATACAGGTAAACAATCACATTCTTAAAAAAGTTTCTATCTAAGGAAAACCAGCTGATTATGAGGACTTATTGACTTTCTGCAATCCCTAACACTGAGTATGCATGCAGGGACAGTGGAGAGGAAAGCTCCCATTTAACAGGAAGGAACCTCAAACAGAACAAGGCTCAGTTTTAGCAGCCATCTGCCGAGTGTTTTTGGGGAGATGGAGGACAGAAATGAAATAACTTCTTTGGAGGAAGACTTTATTGCTGAGAATCGACATTCACTTGGATGAGTAATGTAGGAAAAGGATTAGTGTGGTCTTCCCCAATGCCCGGAAACTGGTGGTGGAATAAGCCAGAGGATGAGAGGGACTGAGAATGAGGGAGGAGATGGGAAGGAGGTGGGTGAAGGTTCGCTTGCATGCGGGAGAGAGAAGCTCAGCCTGGAGCTAAATGAAGGGATCTTGCTAGATGATTGGCTTCGGAGAAGGTGCGGCCCTTGAGTTGATTGGCTGAAGCTGAACGAAGGACATCACAGGTGGTTCAGGTGAAGCCGATAAGCTGAGAAGCCGAGTCTTCTAGATTGAATTTTCGCTTACGTTTCATTTCTTGATTCTATAAGTCAGAGAGTAATCAGGTGTATATTTAATTTTTAAAAATCATTACTTTGCGAGGTGCATTCCATGTTTCCTTTTCTTTCTTTGGCTGATATTAATATAAATAAAATTAAAATTTTTAGAAAAATAAAAAACAGATAAAATGTGTTTGGGGCAAATACATCTTTACTGCAATGGAACACTGTTAATTGTTTTCACCTTTTTTTTTTTTCATTAAATCATTTCTGTTAATGCAGTTATTTGGATGGTGTGTTTTGTCCAAAATAAAACATACAAAAACTGTGATGTATTAGTAGAGAAGTCCATAAAATATATACAGATCTGTGTAGCTATAATAATTTGCAGAAATAAAGGGACATATTTTGCTATAAAGTATGCTTGGAGCTTATGTGTTTTTTAGCTGAAGCAATGATTTGCTAAGCCATCGAGGGTTGCCTGGAAACAGCTTCTAGTATAAAAAGAGTTTTTAATCTGCCTTGCTGCTCCCCATAACTCCCTCCATCCTTCAATAAAACCACAACCTTATGGTGTAGCAGTCGGGTTTTTAAACAAATCTAAAGTAATAGTCATCAAGAGGCTGTTAAAGTTTTGGATGGTAGTTTTGGTGGCAAAAAATAGAATAAGTTTTGAGTTTTCTCAGTAGTAACACTTTTATATTCCAGTAGATTAATGCATAAACTCATTGGGGTATTAGACTCTATTCTTATTATAAAGTCTTCCCATTCATCCTGCTTTCATTTAACCAACATAAACCAAAAATTACACTGTAAAGGCAGCAAGGATGATAAATCCTCAAGTTGCGGTGCAGAATGTGCTAATGTCTCTACATTTGTCCTGTTGAGGGAGAGACGACTATTTAAAGCTTCAAGGGAGGTGGAAAAGGTGTAACACTGACTTGGCGGTGTAGGCTGTGAAGACTTTGCAAACTGGGACAGAAGAGAATGTCCTTCTATTCTCTTTCTGCATCTCAGAAGGCTGCAGAGAAACAAGGAACAATACAAGTGCAAACCCAGAAATGTCAAACCAATGTCGAGAGGGCAAGGACATTTCTAATGAACACCCAGCTACTTTGTAAAAAAATCACTGCT